GCCGGGCCCTGTTCTCAGTCCATCACCGCTACAACAACCATTTTCTGCACTTCTACTCACAGTTTACTCAAAAAGCGTAGCTAGCGCTACTTGTTGAGGCTTGAAATATACCTGACGATGGGTCGCTATAGCTGACGATAAGACGCTGCCAGCAGCAACGCCTTTTGTGCGTATCGATTGACGCCAGGCGACGCTGCTGCTCCTAGCTGCTGCAGCCGACGCGAAAAAACAAACCCGCTATAGCTAGCGATGCTGCGCTGCTTCTTCCTGGTCCTTGCTGCTCGCTGCAGCTCTTTGCTGCTACGCGATAGGAAGCTCATTTTTGATGAGCTTCCGCTGATTTTGCTCGGATTTGCCCCTTTTTAACATATTTCTGAACTTCTGAAGGATTGCTAGAGCACTTGTTCCGATACCGATGAACTACGACAAAATTTCAAGACCGAAACGCGAATGCATCAATAAGAAAATCGATAAAGAATTGACAAAGTTGACAAAGAGTGAAATCTGAATAACTCATAGTCAAATTGGAGTAACGATGAAAAACTGGAGGATTTTAACGGTTTAGTGGGATATTACTAATACACCTCAACACATTAACGGCTGCTATGAACTAGATAGTTTAGATGTTGCCTCAAGCACACATCAAGGTTCTACTGTGACACTCGCTTGATATTTGTCAAATGATCAAAATTTTCTCAGTATATACAACATATGGTCTGCCATTTTATGCTTGCTATAAAGAAAATTCTTTGATGAAAACAGTACGACTTTTTTGGGTCTCATATAATCATATTTCTCTCAATTTTGGTAATTGTAAAGACTGACTTTCCTTGATGGCCTAAGCTAAACGTAATAATGGGTTAAGCTACTTCGTTCTTGCACCCAAAGCGTACCCAGTGTAGCAGCCACGAGCAGCTAAAGGCAGCGCAGACATCAGCGATTCCCCATCACCCGCTATATCTCTAGCGTCAAGTATATGCCTTACTAGTTGCTCAGACGAGTCATTACACTGTTCAAATCAAGGTGAGATGCTTTATGGTCATTTTATATACACATGTGAGATTGGTGATGATGAAGTGAGCACTATACTGCGGTCAAAATCCACTGAATTAGGTCGTTGCTAAGTGATGAAAATTGAAGAGCTCCATAACGTAGACTAAACGCTCAAAAGCATTCTTCAGATCCCACAGTTGAGATGACGATGATGCAATAATATGCAACTCTTCCAAGTGCATTAGATTGCGAAAGCTGGGTTTAGCGAGCACAGTGATGGAAACCATACAATCATAACCAGTGTCGCGACGTGACCCAAATGCGCACTTGCATGGGTGCGCACTTACGCTACGTCCATCGGTCCATTCCCGCAAAGGCAAACCATGCTTGATGCATGGAGAAGGGAGACTTTTTTATACTGCTGCAGCGGAGAAGCAGCCGCAAGTTACGTCACGATGAGACCATGTGAAAAGTTGCTGTAGGCAGACAGAGCGAAGTGGCCGAGCAAGTGGTCGGCTGCATAGCGACAGCCCCCGACCTGTCGGCGCAGCGGCTCGCAGCCACTGCTGCGTGGAGTGGCGCGCCGACGGAGGCCCGCGCCTCACGACGAGGTCTGCATGCGTCGCAGCCTCCGCGCGTCGCAGCGCGCTTGTTGTCCCTCTCGACACGCGTGCCTCGCCTGGCCGACAGCGGCGACTCGGCGCAATTGATCGCTGCGCCAGGGACGCAGAGGCCCGCAGCGTCGCTCTCAATCTACTTCTCTGTGTTCCGATCGTTGCCTGACATCGACGTTATCCAGACTTCGCTCTCCAACTTGCCCGCACACGCTCTGCCCGACATCAGCAGCATCGCAGCGTCTTCGCATCTTTTGCTCATCTTCTGTCCATTTTCCCTCTTCGCACTGTGGCGAACCGGCTTCAGAACCCTTGCAGTGGTCCACGGCTAAACTTTTCCATTCTTTGCCAGAGTCAATCTATTTACGCAGACGTGAGCATGCAGTCCTTTTTTACCTTGTAACTCCTCCATTCCTCCCACCTGGATATCCCACTCGATTGTGATTGGTTGCAAGCAGCCGCCCGTTGTCTATCCGCTCTTCTTTCTTTGTGGTCCTTCGGTGAGCTGACTCTCACCACAGCCGTGGATCCACAGCCATTCGATCCGATCCGTTATTCCCGTCCTAAACAACCAATTACTGCTGATTCTCCTCTTTTTGCCCCTTGGAGCTTGTTGATCTAGAAGACTTAAAACTGATTACAAGTACTCACCCGCAAATAGAGCGCAATTAATACCGCGTACAGCGCTCACTACATGCAAAGTTTCCTCATAATTGCTCGCACTATTGATCTGTAGGCAGCGGTCGGCATCCGAAATTGGATCATCGCAGCTCTTGTGGATCTGTTCTGGTAAAGTTATAGCATCTAATATCAATAACTAAGGTAGTATATCTGTCACCAGTCGTGGACGCTTGAGGTCCATATAAATTTAAGTTCAGCTTGTGTTTTGTTGGCTTTTGCTATCTTGCGATTAGGCAAAATATCAATTTTTGTCAAGTTTGCTGCTTCCACTCTTCAAGTTTTTGATGCTTAGCAGGATGGACGAATGAACACGGTAGCGATTGCATCACTGTTGTGATCGTTCTACTTTGTTTTTTTTTCATGATCCTTAGTAGTTATTTAAATTGTACGCAAAACTTTGCTACGAAACGTTAAGGCATGCATTTGCATATCTGCAATCTCTTCATTTTGCTCTTTCTTTCCCCTTCCGTCCCTTTTCTCCCTAGCACTTACCTCCTCTGAAGTTACTGTTTTTTCTTTCATATCGTGAATAACCTCGTACTACGGCTGTTGTTCGAATGTGGTTACTTAACATGATCAGCTAACAAAACATAGTCCTGTTTCCCGCAAATTAAGCCGGCATAGAGCAAATGATGATCCATATTCAAATTTCTGAGCATTTTTTATTATGTTTCGAAAAAACATGTTATTTTTAGCTGTTTTTAGTTACTGTTTGTTTTTGTGGGGCGTTTGAAACACGAGTTGATAGCCTCCGAAGACAGCATGTTTGCACCGACATTTTCAAGCCAGAATCTCTCCTCTTTGCTCGTAATTTTTATTCCGTACGATGCTGTGGCCTATTTTCACAACATTTCAAACTATACTGTTTCTTGTTCACTTTGAAGCCATTGTCATCATATGCCTTTCTTCGATGGGATTACGTTGTTAACTTTAGCTGCCGAGCCTTAGTTATTCTTCCATTGCAGCCACTTTTTGCGAATGTTAGATGATGTCTCGATGATGTCTTGCCAGCATAGTTTATTTATTATATTTTGTGTTTTTCTCAACCAGGTGCTCCATTTTTTTTGGAATTCGAGATAAGTATTAATAGGTAGTTTCCTGATCTGTCCGCATATAGATATATTTATTTTCTCAGGCTGTTTGATGCCGTAGACAACGTTGTAAGGCTATCTGCTTTACTTGCTTTAGCCCATGGTACTCGAGTTCTTAGCGGTTGATTTTATGCAAACGTGCTGCTCGCCGTTGATCACAAGAGTGGTCGACCTCCACGGTTGAGGCCACCAGTGTAGGACCTCGACGTCATTGATTGATGTTCCCTGCTCCTAGACGTTGTTCTTCGTGCTCGCTATGCTCATGATTATGCCCTTCGTGATCGGATATGCTTTCCGAGCTGCTCTTCTTGTTCGTTTTACCTTCGACAAAGCCCGACTTTGGCCATAGCAGCACGAAGATGGCATGCATGTCTTGGTAAAATGGGGTCCATCGCGTTGACATTATGTATGGCAGTTCTGTAGCTGATGTTTGTGTCCTCGAGCTGCCCTAGTAGATAGCTGACATGCATGATGTTAGGCAGATATTGATCACGTTTCAGGTCAGATGTTCCTATTATTTCAAGATCAGATGGTTCATTTTCTACAGTTTTTCTTCTGCTGATATTGAAGCGCGTAGCTGGAAGATTCCCAAAACATGCGAGTTGGTGGTTAAGTTGGCCTAGCTGCTATGTTAGGTGCCACACTCATTCGGTTCAACTGGTTCGTCCGGTTGACTCATTCGTTATTGGTCAAACCAATTAACTGACCAATAGTGGATGGGGTGGACCGGACGAACCGAGTAAACCGGATAAGTCTGGCACCTGTCTAATGCATCCTACCTTTTTTGTAGGGGAAGGGGGGGGGTCTGACAGTTATTACTGTCGAAGCTTTCCATCAAGGCCAAGATTTTTATGGTTTTGTTCACCGCCTATTATCAAAATGTACTCCATGAGCATCGTGGCACTTGCCGTTATCCACTGTTGTTAAGCCTGTATCCGGCCTTTTGAACCTTTGTTGTTGCAAATTTTAACTTTTTCACTTTATCGTGATGGTTCTATTTCGTAAAAAAGTTCTTCTATTCGTCTTCCACCTTTTTGTACAATCTCTCCCTATGCATCCCACCTCGGAGAATTTCTTTGTTATCGATGCGGGAGCTTTTTCTCGAGTATTCTTTCTCTCACTGAATTGTTTATATGCCATAGCATCTTTTGCATTCTGTAGTTGAACTAGTCATACACATCGCAGTATCTCATCGTGACTGCGTAGCCCATCTAGACTCAGTGTAACCTACACTGCTGTATCAGTCAAAAGGTCGACACCCAGTTTATTATTATTGTTTTGAAGTTCTATGCAAAAACTCTTGTCAACGTGATTTTTGGCTCTAATTGTGCGAAGTTTATGCAGTTGTCAGTAGACTGAGTCAAGTTTCTTTGTTACTCATATGCAGTCTTCTTCCTATCATCGTGTCTCGTTGACCGATGTGAGGACAGAATTCGGCATGTCTGACTTTTTTCATTTTCAGTTACACAAGTTCTTTATTTTTATATTTCACGTCTCAAATCGCATATGCATGGGGATGTCTCGAGCATATGTATTCGCTTGTTTTGGTTTTCGAAGTATACGTTTTCTTTTATAATCACCATGCTCAGGTCATTTCCAGGTAACCACCTCTCTTATTTAGATCCACAGTACCGTTGTCGCTTAGTCGGCAACATGGATCTCGAACGAAGTCTTCCCAATTTAAGCATCGATGATATGCCATGGAGATCACAACATGACCAGCCACAACAGGTAAACTCTGATCATGTATGATCATGTACGTTAATGTTAGAAAAAAAAGATTTGTGTGTAACTGTCATGCGCAGAATTTTGAAGTACCCAAGTACGAGATTTTGACATATCCCAAAATATCGCTAGGAGGTTAACGAAGCAGTTTGGCTCTGGGTCGCACTTATCCGGTTTAAGGCGAGGGGGTTTGAATGAGGTAGAGATGCGGGCGGAGTGAACGAAAGTGAATGGTGCAACAGGGCGCGCTGTGGCGTACGTGTGACAACGTTGAGCTCTCTGTAAACCCGTTTGTCGGCCTCTGTAGGTGTAGGGGAGAGAAAGAGCGGCGCACAACTTTCTTCTTCTCGGCATCGCCCAGTCAGCCAGCTACACCAGAGCGCAGCCGTACGGTAGCACGAGGTGCTACCCTTAGCCCAGCAGCCAGTTCTTGACTTCATCGATTCGCTAGGTGCTTTTTGGGGGTACGTCGTCGGAAAAATGCATTCGAGCAGACGGACACCGCGATTAGTCATGCTCATCTCATGTCGTCAATGAATGAACGAACGAGCGCACTAAGGGGGAGTTGCTGAAGTTGTGAACACGCACGAACGCATGCGTACGTAACCTCACCACACACCACCGCGACATCGTGCCCACGCGCAAACTCGCGCAGGATGCGTCGCACACGTAGTTTCTCATCGATATCCTTCTTGTTTTCACGCCTATCGATTGGGTCTGTTACATTCGTTTTCACTCGCTATGTGGTGCACGCTTGCATCTATCATCTTGTGCCATTATTTTCGTATATGCGGATGAAAATCCGGTCATCTTATAGCTTTAACTACGCTCACAGTGGCATTCACTTTTCTCATATTTTACGATCCTCATTGCAACATAGCGGAAGACGCTGCTTTTTAGGTCCACCTTGATGCTACCAGTTTTTTCGGCGAATTTTTTTGCATTATGCTTTTTGGGGGCAGTGTGTCAATTTATCACCCTGATATAGTTACTGCAAAGATTGGGTGTAATAACTGTGGTCACCGATTTGATCACAGCAAGTGTTGGCTAGCCATATGTTGATGCGGATAGCACTGATAGCTTTTTGAAGCATTATAGTGTAGAGCATCGGATCATCTTCTGAATGGCACCTCATTTACAAAAACTTCCGTTTTTGTAATCTCGCAATGATACTTGAGATAGTTCCTTCAAATTTCTATGCTGTTTCGCCACGTTCAGGTTCAGATTTGAAGCTGCAATTGACAGGATCATTGCATTCACTTTTGATTTCGTGCTTTACAGATAATCCGGCCAGTTATGCGCGATCATCTTCAAGCGATGTCTAAGACACGAGCAAACGTTAAGAGATCTGCAAATCGCTGTCTGCCCTTTCATCATGCAGTTTTGAATGTTTTTTGTGATTCGCTGACGATTTCATGGCGTCGCTGGGCGCATCGATTGGTTGCGGACCGCTGCGATGTGTATTTTGAGAAGCGTTATGCGTACTACATCTTACCGACTTAGAAACTGAGAAACCAACCTGGCTGTAGATCCCTACTGAGTAATCTTGTACACCTGCGTAAATCCAATATTACTAGCGGTTGTGTTCTGTAACTTCCCATCACTATAATTTAGTATATAAATATTTTTGCATCATTCCACTCCAACTAATACTCATTTACTAAATGTAGACGTGAAAAATCAATCGCTTGTATCTTAGCCGTGGGCTTCTGGCATGCCTGGTGGAGGAGCATCGGGCGCACAAGCAGGATGGGGTCACATGTCTCCACAGATGCGCAATCCATGGCAGGATCCGAATGCACTAGGTAACTCAAGTACATTATCTTGTTTTTTCCACTTGATTTACTTTTTAATTTTTTATAATTAGGCGTTCTCAACTTTTTTTTTCACTATCAAGTGCTTCGACGTAAACAGGGTCATTTCCGTTGATCGTTGTAAATTTTTCTAATCTCCGGTTATGTCTCCAAGTCCAGCTGAAACCCCTTCGATCATTTTGCGTTTTTTATTGCTTGTGTTACTTTGCAGTATGTCCACATTCATTATAAATTTTGTTGTGTCTTTGATAGTTTGCAGTACTGGTCGGTTATGTTCTTTATACAGTGAGGAGCTCACGCACAACACATTGTTGTATTTTGTATCATGAGTCTTCTAACAAAATCTGTTTGTGCATTTTGCGAGCAATTTCGTTTAGATTGCCAGAGATTTACTAACTTCAGATTCATTACCTTTCTGAAACAGTCGATTCTGTTTTCAGCACAAGGCGTAAATGATGCTCTGGGAATCGGCGCTACTCCTGGTGGACAAGGAAGTTGGGGTGCGCCAATGGGAGCGGCACCAGGCGACTTCGGTGAGGCCGCGAAAATCTGGTCCGACCCTCACGTAGATCAACAGCAACAACAGTTTAACCCCATGCACGGACATCATCGTAAGTAACGCTCTAGCACCGTTAATGCTTGCATGACAAACTGTGTGGCCAAAAGCCATTCAGTGGAACGACGTAACCCTGAACTTTATGTGATCCAGCTACTTCACTTCGCTTTCGTTGATTTTTCGCTTTGCTATTTTTCTGCGATGTCGGCACAGTTACTGGTCGAAACCCCGATTTTGAGTTTATCGTTATCGATACTCGATGACTGTGCACAAACTAGCGTTGATATAAAACCACAAGCATTTTCCTTTGGTTTTCTTTAGTCGCTGAAGAGCCTATACTTACGGCGATGACGTCATCAAGCCTCACTTGTACCAGCAGTATAGTATGCAAACCTCATTTAATGCATAGTTTTGATTAGCACCTTCTCGACCATGCAGTTGCTGCTCACTTTTACCAATAGTCCTTCTAGGAGGAATGAACGGGATGATGGACCCACAAGGTGGGAGCGATTGGATGGGTGCTACTCCAGGCCTCAACCAGATGCCGTTATGGGGTGATTTACAAAAGCAAGACCATGATGGTTACTGGAAACATCAACAGCAAGTAAATGTTGATAAATTTCTTTTCTTTTCACTCATTACAAGCATTGTGTGGATTATACTATCATTTTCACGGCTTAGGCTGGCGGTTGGGGTGGACCACCGAGTGGCTTAGGTGCGTGGCCACCACGTCAAATGCATCCGAACGCCCCACCGCCTCAACACGGCGCACATGGACAACCACCGCGAATGTTTGTGCAGCGACCACCACAAGGTGACAGTGTGCTTCTTTGCTCCACTATAGCTTAGTTGTTTTTTTTAGTATGGGCACCAAATGGTGGAATGATGGGTGGACCACCAGTTGGGAAACAAGCAATGCCATGGGATCAGCAACGTATGACGGGTATGCCACGGGGTGGAATGGGCCGAGGTGGTCCAGCGGGCGGCCGGTATCCTCCTGGTGGAATGGACATGAGCGTACCTCCTCCGATCGACTTGCCTGTAAGCTTTGATATTCTCAGTTAAGCATTTCTTCATATATTATCTATATATCTCTATCTCCAACCCTGAATGGTAGTTATGCTCATAAGGTATGAGTTATGATCATCCACCGTGACTATTAGTATCACAACAGAACCAATATGCGCAGAGATTTCAGCTGAGTGGAATGTCTGGAATGCGGCAGATGGCTCCACCGAATGCTGCAGGAACATGGAAGCCTGAGATTGGCGTGGCACCGAATGGCATACGAGGCCCAACGGCATTTGGACAGGTATGTTACCGCTATTCATGGGCTATGCGCTTTAATGTTATCTCAGATGGCTGCTCCACTGATAATGTCCGGAAAGCCGCAGGCTGCACCAAATCAGTTCCCTATCGGTGGTGTGGACGATCTGATGTGGCACGATCCAAATGGAGATTTGAAAAAATGGCAGCGAGATACTGGAGTGTCCTTGTGGGGCGATCCGGAGAAAAATAGTGCGTAATAGCTTATTCCCCTAATTTGAAACTGCTTTCTTTACTAGTGCTTATTTAGTCAAAGAACCTTTGTTCAGATGAGCGCCCTGTACGTTTATGGATGATAGGCGAAGGTGAAGAAGAGGACTTAGAGGTGGCATTGATGAAATGCCCGGTTCCGCAGAAGAAGGTGGATGGAAGTGTTAGTCTAAACGCTTACCCTGTGTCTCGTTTGGCGTGTGTCAATAGTGCCCAATTGTCTCGGACTCCCCGATAGTCTATTCATTTCACTTGTTCAGTTGTTGCTTGCAGAATGAGGATGGTTCGGCTCGGTTGCCGTTCCCGATACCTGCCAAACGCCCTATCGTAGTGACCGGATGGGGAGAACTGCCAGAAAATGATCCCAATAACCCGATAAAACATGGTACGTTCCCCATCGCCTTATGGCCTTTGTTTCGAGCCTTTTTTTTTTTAGATGAAGCTCAACCCGGTTCTGGAAAGTGGGGGGATATTCCTTCACATTCACAACACACTAGTGACTCGCCATGGTTCTTGCCTTCTCAACAACAACCTCAACCATTCGCTCCAGAAGCCCCTGCCTGGGGACAGCCAAATACAGCCGCTGCCCCAATGCCTCCTGGCCCCTCGCAACCTCATACTCAAGCCGTCGCTGACCAGTTAAAGTACGCGGTAGATAAGGTACATTATTTCATCAAAGTCTTCCCATTTGGATAGCGGGCTTTCGTGAACATCATTTTCTCTAGGGTTACCTTGATATGTCGGTGCTGCAACAGACTAATTTACCGCCCCATGTTCTCCAACATATGAATCAAATGCTAGCTCTCATACCAGCACTTGAATGCTGCGAGGCTGAGCTGAAAATGCTTGTAAGTTTTTCTTTAGATGTAGTCATTGTAATGTAATTGTAGTATGCGCAGTGGTTAATTGTTTTCCATGTTAAGGTTGATAGTGTGCGCCCAGATGGTGAGGTGGACGGCAATAGTCCGCAGAGGTGGATGAATGATGTACAAAAGGTAATGCCCTCGTTTCACATTTCGTTTTGGTTTGTTCACCTTGTGTCGAAGTACTTTTCTAATCCCACATCGGCCTCGGTGTGCGACAATCTTCCCTAACGCTTATAACAATCCGCATACCGTTCTAATATCCTCCAAAATCCATCCGCCGTTCCGTTTGCGATCATATAGCTTTGTTTATAGGTAGAGTACAATCGCTTGATAATCGAAGTGACGACGGTCAAAATTGAAGTAGCTGAGTTGTCCAAGAAGATCCAGCGAGGCCTTGCCGACGCTGGCATGTCGAGTGGAAGTGCGGCTGTCGAGGGGCTTGGCTCCGATGCGTACCACTACTCCTTTCTCGAGTAGGCGAATCGCCAATGCAATTCAGCAAAACGCACCTCTTGACTCACCATCTTTCTGACCATCTCCACCAGCAGCAGCACCGTATTCTCATATCGAATCCGGTATCTCTTGTATCACCAAATCCACGGTTCATCACAAGTCTTGTTACGCTCAGAGATCCTCCGCAAACTATCTTCCTACACACGGGCCGCGTTACGCCTTTCCTAAATCTCAACCCATATGCTAATACGCGTCCAGAATAAGATTCCACAACAATGTGCTCTCTTGTGTCTCATTATGTTCGTTCGATGTTGTTGTTTATTACTTATATGGCTTATGAGGTTCCTGTTAGATTGTCATGTTACTCGAAATGTGATTGTAGATTCTTTAAGATCCTTTTACTCAATGTACCTTGTCAGATTGTTGTCTTCGGTTTTAGCGCACTTGTGACCTGCAGCTGTGCGCCATCATCGTCGTTTTAAACAGTCCACACTTTAGTCGTGATCCTTTTATTATCAACACGCCGCGGAAGCCGGCTCCACAATTCGTTGTCAAACCATCTTCGCATCCCGATCCCTCGCTCCGTCTCTCTTTTATGGGTCGTTCATTCTAATCTATAAACATGGCCGAGAATTACACCTCTGTCTCACTTTGATATATTTTCATTTTTGTCAGTTGTTATATTTTTTCCATATTATGTCTGCATATTGTCCGTGATGATATAAGTATATGTAGTTCAAGCAGCGTTCACGTTCATTACTTCGTGAATACCCTCGAGCTAAGCCTTAAGTAACGATATTTGTTCTCTCCTATTGCCAAAAGTGGATTCTCAGTGTACGGCGTGCTTGTGCTCTGGAATGTGTGTTCTTTCCGTCCCGGCCTGAAAAAGTAGCGTCGGGTCTAGTGCGCACGGTCTCTGCTTTCATCCAATTTAGATGCGATTGCTGCATCACTCGCATGTTCATCTCTGCCTGAGCGCTCTTCAAGCCCTCCACTCTCATCTAGTTAAGGGTAGTAAGTGTCTCTAGTAGCCTAGTTTATATTCCGTTCTCAGTCTTTTGTTGTGCGTTCAAAACGAGGGTAGATGTGTAATCACACACAGATGGTGCGCGCAACACACGAAACCTGTCCACTAACCATCGTTCTGTACGTGTATCTCGTCGTTGCTCCCGTGGTATGTTGTAGGTCGTCTTTGCCATGTTCAGGGTGTTGGTTTTTCCCCTCTATCTCTCTTCGTTAGTAGACAGGTGGGTAGGCGGTTCTCAGCCATCGCGCAGGTGTCACGAGGAGCGGGGCCGCCGCGGGTCCATGGCCGCTCCTCATTCCCCAGACTCATTGTCCCCTCTCTTCTCTACATTTGATCACACGTGTCTATTATCTAAATTTGCTTATTGATTACGGCTTCGAGTTTAAAGGGGCTTGGCTAAAAGCATCAGAACTTCGCACATATGTCATATAAGTGTCCGAGTCGTTTTATGTCGTTTTATGTCTCTCCCAACGAAGCATTAGCCCACCCCTGTTCTTATGATTTCGCTTCTTGATCATACGAAATGTGGTAGTTTCTTTCAGGTCATTTTACTGTCTGCTTTTTTATTATCGAACCTGGTTATTCTGTAAAAATATTCTGCAATAGTGTACATCTCGATTGGCACATTGTTTACGCATTTTATATTTTGTGGTCAATAAAAAGGATTTGGATAATAGGTAGTTCGTATGGTGTAGGAAACATGATACGCGGTAGCCAGTCTGTATCGAGTCTGAGCTTCCTTCATTGAGAGCAAGAGAAGAGCCGACACATAAAATGAACATCCAAGTATACTTCATCATCAATAAAATCGTGACATCTGCGCACGCAAAAGCATAATCATAATAACAGTCTCAGATCAGTCACTTTCAGTGTCTAAATAGTACCATAGATAAGCAGAAAAACCATTCGAGTAGGGATGAAAACCAAGAAAATGCGATTGTTGAAAGTGCGTGCGTGTCATCGTCATGATTTTTCGAGTGCCCTATATGTTTCTGCATGCAATGAAAGGCAATATTAAAGCCGAATTGGCATACCTTTCTCGACAAGTTCGTTCAAACAATCGAACAGATAAAGTTTTATTCCACATCACAGATGTTACGATTAATGCTGAGCATTGTTTGATAACAAGCCTATTATGTGACCGGAAGAGGTAACGTCCGGAGAGATGTTCTGTCAATTGAAACTCACAGAGGGAAGGTGTGATTCGAAAGAAATTATCCAACAACACAACCATGCACCAACTTTGCTGGAGTCACTGTCGCCTGGTCACTCGAAAAATCAGATTACAAATCAAGTAAAGCACATCTTCTACAGAAGCAGAATAGGAAAATAATAACGATTTCGTTATCCAGAATTACCGTATGCAGAAGGATGGTGGATAGGGTGCAAAGGACCGTTCTCAAGTTGTCTGACAAGAAATATATACAAACAGTAATTATAAACGATTCATGACACGCAAAGACTGGGCGCCGTTGCGTCCGGCCAAGATAGTTCGTGCATGGAAGAGACAGCAGATGGTAAGAGAAACAAAAGAGCGCTTTTAGAGAGACGCCGGCGAGTCCGCAGTATTTGCTTCCTATGAATCGCCTATAGTGACATTGATTAGCAAGTGGAAGACAAAGCGGGTGGAAGGAAGTGAGGCGAAATACAAACACTGTCAGTGCATGACCTAAGTGTGATTTGTTTTAGATCGCCAGTATCTTGCAGGCAAATTGAGTGTTACAACAGCAACGAAAAAAAGTTGTATGCATTTTGGAAGAAGCTGACCCTGACAAGCTGGTGGACAACTTGAATTTGAATTGGGGCAAGCCGTTCGCGGCAGAGCACGGCACCATTTGGAGCAAATTGACCTGAGGGCTGAGGGTACGGGTCAGGAGTAACGATTTTTCACAAGGCGATCACCACGCGACGTTAATCAGTATAAGAGCCACCTCTCGTCAGTACTTCTGTCGCAATGTTACTTATGACATCGAGTCGTGTATCCGTCACTACTCCCACTCCTACCCTGCCGCCATGCCACCTCAACACCATTTGGGCGCGGCCGAAGTGCGCGGTTGACTTGACTCCTAACCCATAGCTGAGTTCTGAGGGGGCTTTGCTCTACCTAGCTACGCGTCCGGAGTCACACAGTGCACGCCTCTTTGCCGCGCTCAAATTCTGTGCTCTAGAAGAAATCTCCGTCGCCAGAGAGGCGGGGCTGGAGGGAGGGAGAGGCGGGAGTAGCGGCAGGCAGATACATGGCTCGATGTCAAGTAACACTTACAAAGGCTACCGGCGGGAGCTGACTCTCGTACTGCTTGACATCGCGTTGCGGCATTGCTTCGCAAAAAATTCGCGCAAATTGACTCCTGACCCGTACCTCCCTACCGTAACCGTGCTCCATTACAATTCTAAATCGTCCACCAAATGTCTACAGTGAGTTTCAACCCAGTTTAGGCGGGGATTGGAATGACGGTCGTCCGCTTCGCAACGTTGCGCGCCGTTACGCATCTACTATATATCATATTGAGTTAAGAACCCACGTCTGCGCCTCCTCAATTGCTTGGCAAAATGTCAGCGCTGTACGTTCACGAAGCCTTCAGCACTGCTCCACATGAAATGTTTTGCCTACTCTGGCTGAAAAACTGTACTTGAGGACAACTATATACTCTGTTTTAACCGAACTAGGCCGTAGCATTTCATTCGGAGCAGCGCGCTCGATTCAATAGAGGCTTTGCGAGCGCACATCGCAACATTTTGCAAATTGAACATCGAAGAGAATGGAGATGCAGAGGTGGGTTTTTGGAGCGATATGGTGTATATGGCATTCATAAAATCGTGACGACGGAATCGACTGCGGTCTTTGCGCCCAAGCGTTACAAGAGAGAACATGCAACATGGAAACAGCACTTTAGCACTCAGCTCAGTCGCTAAGTGTTCTAAAAGCTAACATACATACGAGAAATGCTTCGAAAAGAGGTAAAGCAAAGAAACGTGACTGTCTAATCTGTGCGCGCGACCCGCGCGGCCGCCGCCATTGTCATAGTTTCATGGATGATGGGCGTGGTGGCGTATCTATTTATAGTTGGAGACGGAGCGAACCGTTGCGAGGCAAGCGTCCGCCATTCCGATTTTGGCCAAACTGGACTGAAACTACGGCCCGTATGCACGTACATCCCGCGGGGAGGGGAGGGGATCTGAGAGGGGAAGCGTCATATCTCGCTAGTTTTTATATCTTTTTTCGTTTTTCTCTGTCTTGCTTTTGAAGGTTCTCTTACAATGATACCTGCGCATAACGGATGCCAAGTTACTGTTATACAAGATTAGATATTCAATATTTCGTCTAATCCCCTGGGGATCCCCAGGGGATCAGACGAAATAGTGAATATCTAATCTGGTATGGCAGTGGCCTGGCATCCGTTATGCGCAGGTATCAGTGTATGAGAAACTTAAACAAGATAAAGAAAGAAGGAGAAATATATGTAGACTAGCGAGATATGCGCTTCCCCTTTCAGATCCCCTCCCCTCCCGCGGGGATGTACGTGCATACGGGCCTAACTCTATATGCGACTTCCCTCCCTCGAAATACTGTGCCACTCAGGTGCTACCCATACGTATTAAGCAAACCACTACAACTGAGCTACTGTGTGCTGAAGAACAGTAGGGAAATCAATGTCAGCTTCAAGTTTAATGAATCTTTCCTCAATGGTTAGTATCTCATTTGTGGATGGAAACTGGAAGAGTTTCGTGATAGGTACACCGCGACTAATCAACAAGTCCACTGCGTCTTCCAAGAATGGAGTTGACATATCCACAAGTAGATCGATAGTCTAAATCCATGATTGGTAGTGATTGCTACTACATGTGTGAGTTGAAAACTACTGTAAAACGTACAGTCTATGTCAATTACGTACTCCCTTTCGCAAGGGAACTACGGATGCGCAACGCATGGGCCCTGCGTGCGGACCTCCAATCGATGATGCCCATTTGAATGTCCGAGTCATACGCAGGGTTGAGCAAGAGGTCCGGCACAAGTCCTTCAAAAACGACCCCCCCCCCCCCCCTGTGAAAGCCCCTAAACGACCCTCCGATTCACCTCCACGTCCTCAGGGTTTTGTATTTTGAAGAAGACCAGCCTTCACCGCAAGTTTTTATTTTATTTAAGTCTGTAAGCCCGACTTTCTGCAATTGCACAACCACACGCAACTTGACGGCAAGTTTTAGATCTGGACAGTCCTCTTTTCAGAGCTACAATTTTCACAGGGGTGGAGTGTTTGGCTCTAAATTTCCAATATAGCAAGAAGAGGCTTTGCGCTCAATACTCATATCAAAAAAGGGGCGATTTTTGAATTTTGAAGGCAAGTTAAGAATTTTTGAATTTTGAAGGCAAGTTAAGTTAATGGGGTCAGGCGCAACCCCTGAAAAGGTTAGGCGGCCTGACCTTTTGACGGGTTGCGCCTGACCCCATTAACTTTATCTCCGAAGGAGCTTTTCTAGCCGAGTTTTATGTGATTCGCTAGGTCAACCCTCGAAGATTCCACAGTAAGTGTTTGAGCTTGATTCGGCTTGTTTCGGCCTTGTGCTAGTCCGAGGAGTTGAAGCACTCAACGTGAAAAACGCGCCGGTTGGAATTTTGGCAGCACTTCTTACTTCGCTTTCTGAAAGCGATAAGAAGCCTGATTTGCAGCATAGACTTGTAGAGAACATTACTTTGTTATGAGTATACAAAAGCTGACTTTTCTCATTTCTGAAACCAAGTTGACCACGTTTGAAAATCACGCTTTTTAGACGCCGAGAAACACTAGAAACTGCAGTAGGTAATGGTTTGTAGAGCGCATAAAGGTAATTTGACATGCTGATTATGGAAGTGATACCCATTCCACACAGCAAGCTTCCTTGTCGACTTCATATGTCAAGGTAAAAGAGATGAAGATTTGAATTTAGGCTGAAACTTCCATTGTGGATCAGTATGCTGTTTATGACCGTCATTCCTTCATGTGATCGCGATATCCACCGTAGCTCATTTCTTCTTCACCTTCGCATTATCTCCCCAACTTAACAAATTCGATTCTTAATTACGACCCCCCCCCCCTCTCAGTCTTACCCTCAATACGACCCCCCAGATCGGGCGCGCTTGACCCTACGCTCAACCCTGGTCATACGCGCGCGAACGTGTCGCGGAACTTGTTGAGTTTATGGAAAAGGAAGCACCTGATTGACACTGACTGTAGTCCAATCTGTCATTGGATCATGTTTTTACCTTTTGCGACATCAATCCAATCTTGCTATTCGTAAGTTTAGCTTGCGCGTTGAGCATGCTGGAAGTGCATCTCACCTATGAGAGAAAATCACCATCTGCTTGCAAAGATACAAAGCAGTATTTTACCATATCATCTTGGATATCTATTTTTAGTTCAAGCTCGGTTTCGACATTTATGCTGATAATTGTTCCGTTGAACGGTTGTGACGTTGACTTTGAGATCACCTGCAAGCAGATTGAAAAGATAATCGGACTTGCATAGCTATGCAGAACGTAAGCGATAAATTTGATGTAAAAATGTGCTGGAGCAAAGGTCCTGCAATAATAATGATAAGATTCCACTGATATGATGTCTATCCCAGTCATGTTGTTAGATTTGGGAAATGTAGGCAAAAGCGGGTTCATGAAGTGGGTAGAAGGCTCAAAACGCCATCCTTTTCCATTTAGGAAGTACAGTAAAATGTTCAATAGTCAAATCACATCAAATACTCACGTCCAGGGAAGCATTGACAAAAACGAGGGTGTTTCCCTTTTGTAATGTGATCATTGGAGGGTTGAGTGTTGAGGCCTCAATAACAAAATGATTTACAGTACAAATACATTCTTTTTCAGTAAAATGCCCTCTACCTGAACTGTGAATGAAGAGTTTGGCATTGCATCAGCTATTTCTGGCAGTACTGTACCAATGCATAGGATGTCGCAATAAGTATGCAAGAAAGGGCTGTCGACAGTTGCGCTACAATTTTCTTTTTCGCACTGTGATTTTGAGGAGGAAGTTTGAATTATTCATCTTTTCACTTTCAACATAAGCGGCTTATTTGCTTGATTTACGATTCAGCAAAAATGTGATCCTGATAGACAGTGATTCCCCCCCCCCCCCGCCTTCCTGCTCTCCGAAACCGTATGCACTTACACGAAATGTCCTGAGTAGTGAGTGGCTGCCAGCGCACTCTGAACTGTTTCTTCTTCAATAAGTACTGTGATCATTCGGTTCGATGGCGACTGAGCTACTGAATTTGACAAACATTATGAATTAACCCTAGTATCAAATGCGGCTTTACCCTCATCGTACTCGGACTGGTTAAGAATCATCTCGCCTTCCACTAATTCACCGTTCCAAATTAAGTCGCTGCGCATACGCAAATCCACATTCATTTTTGAAAAATGGATGGATTCCAACGATTGAGACAGAATGACCTGGAAGGATGAATTGTTTTTGTGATAGGCAATTGTAGGTACGCTCGACGCAGGAGGCTGAGTCATGGTCGTTTAGAACTCTACAACTCCTTTGGTTCTTCTTCATTCCTGTAACTTCTGTGCCTGCTTTCAAAAAAATGCCAAACCTCAGGACTGGTGCTGAGCGTGAGATTCGGCGAAAACTGCGATATTTGCGCCTCTACCCACTGTATCCAAGCTTTCTCCATGACGGCGCAGTATTGCTAGAACGGGTGAAGTGTAGACGTGATGCTGAAGTAAATCGCAGCTGGCCCAAACCTCTTCTAACTTTCTTCGCATGGCGCTGGTAAGACTTGCTCTAAACCACTGAATAACTTCAGCAGCCACTCCTCCTCGAATGTTCATTCGTAGATCACGGATACGAGCAACACAATGGCTTACTTCCACATCATCAGGGGCAGAATTCTGGAGTAAGTGAAAGACCATGGTACCAGTAAAGGTAGTTTCTTACCGTCATGGCGATTTCGGAGATAAGACCGGTCATCTGCATACGGACACTCCCTTGGAGAGGGAAACGAAGTACATTGAGAACTTCCGATTTAATCTCCCAATTAGCTATCACCTAGAGTCAATGTGTTAGAGGAAGTTTGCGAAATGAATTCCCAGGATTGACCTGGTATCTTATGGTTAAGAAAAACCACGTCGACTGTATCATGGTAAAACGGTACAAGCGTGAAATATAATGAAAACTTGCTTGAGCATATCCAGAATGTGTCGTCATATAAATCGAATTGTTGTCATTGGGACGAAATCGTATATGAGGTGGTACAAACCGGGACACTGTTATATTTTTGACAAGCAGTTCACCAGCAGCATAGGAGCCCAAAAATATTTGCTAGAACAGATGAACATGATGATTACGTTGTTTGAATTACTTTAATATAGCAAGACAGGTTAATCACCCTTATATCAGGCACGATTAAATTTGGTCCAGACATCGACAACCATTCTCTCGTAAAATTTGCTGCCTCTTGCAAGCCAATTTCGTTCACTCGCAAGATTATGCAACAGCAAACCTTCAAACTTATGCAAATTAGAATCCAGCTACAATGAGAACTATTGTTACCTGAATGAGTTCAAACAGGAGAATCCTCAGGATTTTGGCCATTTCACGTTTATAGACCTTCAGAGAAGGGTTGACGAGGACAGTGCACAAAATAATTATAGACTGCTCTAGAAATGAATTTCCTAGACCGTATTTACGAGTAGCATGGGAGATCGGATAAAGTGTTGCGACACAATTACGAGAGATTTGAGAAAAATCCACTTTATGGTGAAATAGTACAGATGATGATCGAGCTAGTCTACAGACGGACCTCAGACGCTCTACTTGACATATTTTTCTACTCAGGCATGTGCGAATTGACTCAAAAACTATTTGCAAGCTTTTCGTCTTCTACGATATATCTGCTTGTTTGGATAAGTGAGTATGCTGTCCTATAAGCCTTTGTCTATTCTGTGATGACAAAGACTCGTTGATCGCAGAGATCTGCACGAGTCTCTGCGCTTTGACAGATGCGAATGCTATCTGTGCAAATGCACACACAGGCTCTCACCTGCAATGTATGCGAATTGAAATGGGAGCTATTCAAAACTATTGAACCGAATACTGCAAAGTGACGAAACTTGAAAATACGAAGAGATTGGATTATGGTAATCTGGCATTTCCTAAGCGTCAAATTTCTAGTCTCAAATTTCAATGCCTTCTCACGTCAAGTACGGTTTTTCCCCTACCATCCCTAACCATGTCATAGCCCTTAGAGCAAAATATGTCTGCCTTACCCCTCACGAAAAATAGGTTGAGGAATTATGATAACTTCGGACTAAGACTTTTCGGATAGGAAACGATAACTTGATGCTTTAGTAGGAAAGCACATTCAATGTCTAAGGCAGTGGAAGGCGAAAGAGGGGCATACCAGGATTGATACAGGAGAAACATCCGGAAGAGTCCACCTCGCGAAAGAGACTCAGTATGAATGCTTTAATCCCCTTCAAAACGCCGTGAGGTGTGAGGTGAGTGAAAAACTATCAAACGCTTCGGACAACAACGTAAGTTAGTGCGACAGAAAAAATGGATGCTTTCACACGCAATTCAACGAAAAAGCCAAGTAGAGATCGCTATGTAAATAGCACGTACTTATTCGTCTTGTAGCGGATGTCACTGTGCTATCGACGTGATGTTACACTCTTCAAAATCTGGCAAGAAGTTCTACAAGAATACGAAGCTGTTAAGTGGTGAGGGTAGCAACCTCTTTGCTCAAATGAACGTGACCGAATGAAGTCTCATTTTTTGATTGCGAGATGAGAGCCGAATGCAAATAGGGGCGATGACCATGCAGTCGGGCGTTTGCTGAGCAATTTTATAAAGTGCTGCATAGACTTTGAGTAAAAAGGCAATTTATCGCAAAGACTGAGAACAATGATGTCAAAGGAAAAGAACTCAACTCAGTACCCCCAATAGGCTAGCTCGCCGCGAGTGCAAGCCTAGCTCTTGTGCAAATTCGACCTCTTGCCGGCACGATGCGCCTAAATGACCACAATTCGCGCACTCGCTATAAGGCACCGGCAACATGGGACAAGTTTATTGCTGATCAAAAGAATCTGTGTTCAAAAAGCTGACAGGAAGACTTACGCCAAGATGTCGCTTATAGATAACTCATTTGGTAAGAAACGATTATTATTAGAGCTCTGAAGAGATGTGAGCTAAACAATAGCCGGGAATTCCCTTGGTTCCGTTTTGATAGAATCTACAGCAGCTTTCTTATAAGTAAGGTTGAATTTTCATCTATAAAAATGTCTACATTCTGTTCTGATAGTCTGCAGTTTTTAGCATGTTAGGATTTGGTCCAGTATTTACGACGTATAACAAGATGGTCCAGAGAAAGCCTCTTCCAACCTGTAAAAAATGTGTGGGCTCTAGAACTCAAATTCTGCAAGTTTTTATGGGAAAGTCTCAGCTGCTACAAGTGATTGCTACTTTGTGAAAGCGGAGAACCAATCTGCAAAAAAAAAAAACAAGCGTGACTGTAAATAGAGCGCAAAAGCTCCGTTGTTATGTTCTGAGCACGTACTTGACACCTCCCAAGTTTTATTTGTCGTCCCAGTTCGTTTCTCGTCCATTATAGTCGAACAGCTGTGAAGTCCTCAGCGCAAGAATACTGAAAGCTCTTCAACCGTAGGACATTGGACGAGCAAAATTTTCTTTCGCGTCTCCGTTTTTTCTGGATTCTTTGGCCCCTTTGTGTTTGGATTTTTGTAACCTCATATTCAATACTAATTTTCAAAGAAAATGTGCACTACCAAAGAGATGAAGTGAATCATGGAAGCATTTGCCGCTTACTTTATGCATTTACGTGGTCAAAGATTTACAGCTTTTCCTTTGAGTTCGCTTTACTCATCACGTCAACAAATATTAGGTTGGCACATAAGTTTTGCAACTTAATTTGTAACTTTTCTTTTTTTGACTGTGACACATTCAATTTTGGGCATAATGTAGATTAGATAGTAGGCTACAAAAATGCGCAGCAGTTTGATTTTTGATAGGGAAGAGAAAATGTACTCAGTTTTTGTAAACTGGTCAAATTCTTTTTTTGGAAATTAGGGCCGAAACTGTATATGTCATTAGAGTTCCTCTATGGGTACAGTTTCGGCTTGATGCGTTTGATTCAGGCTGAGAATGGCTTTATTTTTGGTCTTCTGATCCTTGAAATTTTGGATTTGACTAGCTTCCGAAAAATGAGTAAATTTTCCCTATGTCGCTACCAAAAAATTGAACTGTTGGCGCATATTTGTAGCCTACTACCTAATCTAAATTACGCCCAAAAATGAATGCACAAAGTCAAAAAGAGAAAAGTTACAAAGTAAGCTGCAAAAATTATGTGCCAATCTATCAATTACATATTGTTACATTTACATGAGATATGTAGTGTTTATTTGCTCCGCAATGCATCGAATCGAAACGGTGCATTTATAGATATCGACAACAAATATGGATCTGAAACGTCGTCCAGGATAAGTGAACATTTTTGCGTTCCCTCAATCTTGTAGAGCATATAAATGAAAACGCTGGATTGGAGCTGTTTACATATTTATTTATTTATCTAATTCTGCCATGGGCATAGTGCATTACTCATATTCCAGCTTGAATAAAAGCTATCTTGTATGCTCGAATTTCTATCGGAGGTAGCAGAGACGTTGGTTGTGTTGACGTCTCTTATTAAGTCAGGTTTTGCTGCGCAAGCAAGGTGTATCAAATAACTGAGCAAATAGAGTACAACTTGAGTACGAACAATGACCCTGAATTCTTAGAGTTTTTTTTTTGCAAAAATCAATTTTTAAGCAAGGGCTTTTTCATCGGGACAACGACTTGCCAGCGGCAAGCTTTGCAGCGTTATGAATCTCTTTGAGAGCTGTAAACCTGGATGAACTTGTCGCATACAAAAAGCGAAAATCTCAAGCACTATGTTTGAGATATGTAAGCCGGTATATAAGCGGGCGATCATACTAGCTCAGAACACACATCAAAATCAGCTCAACAATGCAAAAAGCTGTTTTATCCCTACTTTTATTGAGTGGTTTATCTCCAGGGGAGGTGAGTTCTTGAGTTTTATTTCAAGTACTTCAAGATGTTTTAATTTGAAAATTTATCCAGTGTATTTATAGCATTCATTTTGCCTCTGTTTTGTGAAAATATAGATGAGGATAGTTGAAAATTATCTGCTTTAATTAATAGTTCTAAATATTAGCGTACTTACATTTAGGCGAGTATTGGAACTGTACTCTACTGTACTTGAAAGAACAATAATAAGATCTGGTTTTTCTGAACGATACATCTATCTAAGTATTTGCTAGGTTTTCTCCGTAGCACATAAACATCTGAGCTGTAAAAATATTCATTACATGAGTAAGAAGTATAAGGTTGCCTGACTTGTAATTCTGAATTCACAGAGCTTTACATGAGATAACTGTGCAATTGCTTTATTGTCCATTAGCACCCAATGAGTACTACAATGAGTAAGATCACTTAGCTCTTCAGCAAGCGGTCGAGTTTTCTTGAACGATCGTTGAGGTAGAGGTCGAGGATGCATTTCGGGTCGCAGTTCGGCATACATTCTCGCCTGCACACTATCTGCTGGTCTTCGTACATCAAAGATGACTTCACAATCAGTGGTGGTTCCGTCGTTATCACCTCCGGATGAGATTGCTGCTTTCCACTGTCCTGCACACTCTCATTCCTGACTTCAGGAGCAGCTGGTATGCTCCGTTCAGTGGTTGTGGAAGAACGTATGGGAGCGGCTGGGATGCTCCGTTCAGTGGTTGTGGAAGACGGTATGGGAGCAGCTGGTATGCTCCGTTCAGTGGTTGTGGAAGAAGGTATGGGAGCAGCTGGGATGCTCCGTTCAGTGGTTGTGGAAGACGGTATGGGAGCAGCTGGGACGCTCCGTTCAGTGGTTGTGGAAAGCTGTATGGGAGCAGCCGAGGTGCTTTCCTGAAGCATAGGTTGCAGCGCTTGATTGGGCAATCCATGAGCGCAGTTCTGTTTACAAGATTGCCTGCACCGGGAATGACAAGCACCAGAGAAGGAAGTGCCACAGTTATTCTGGCATGTTTGCTGGCACGCTTGCGAGCACGAAAACCGTGGAAAGATTACTGGCGTAACTACCCTTACTCCTTGCTTAGCGGTGCAAAACCTTGCACAGCTATTCATGCACAGTGAAGGACAGATGGGAGAGATTTTCCGTTCAACACAAAGAGGTAGGCATCGAAATTGGCATGAGGAGCGACATTGTGAGTACTGAGTATTTCGTACCATACTTCTACAGCAAGACATTGAAAACATGGGTGTGCATGGGCAGTGCAATCCGAATCTGCTTGAACAGGAACAGGAACCTCCTTGAAAGGTCTGTGCACATAAACACGGTCTCCTTGTACCTACCTCGGCCTAAAAGTGCAGAAAATAATGGCGCTAACGATGATACCGTTGTCATCTTGTACGCATATGATAAAAAAAAACAGTTGCACAATACGGCAAATGTGTTCATGAACAACTTCGGCGAAAATGAAATACTAAATTCGAATCATAAATTTTTTACCTGTCTAGTAAGATTCGGTAGTAGAATTAAAATTAGCGCGATCGCTGAAATCATAGCACAGCCGAAATGATGTATGTTTTCTGCGCGATGGGTCTACTTTTATACTGACCTAAGGTATCGTGCATTTTCTTAGCATTAATCTCATTAACTTAAGCATAAGTGCAAACCAGTAAGGATTTTTTGATGACACAAGCCTACGTTCAACGTAAGTTGTAAATCGAAAGACTGGAATTTTTACGATAGAGCAGCGAAAGCGAACTTACTCAACAAACGCTTATCAAGCTTCTTTACAACTGAGCTTGTTCTTTTCGCAGCCACTGTTAATCTGCTAGACATCGAGAGCGTTCTTTCATGCAGATTTTTGGAGCCTGTATGTATGACTATATGAAAGCTACCACGAACCGTAAAAGCGAATTTTGCAAGGAAATTATATCCAGCAGCTAGGAAGTGAGAAACTCATGTTTGCATGGACTTCATTTTTTGACGTGTACTTAATTTACGTCTTTTGCAGTAGCATAACTGAGATATTATCTTGCAAATCGTTGATTCCAGAGGCGTAAAACTTGTGTGAGGATTTATCTACAAGAACACAAGAGGAGAAGCTTTCATGCATCCACAATATATGTGATTAAATCAATTAATTAATTATTTGATTTAATATGTAATTTTTCGCAAGGTGAAGCTTGGGATAGTTTTCTTCTTGAGCGCTCCCTGGTTCGTAAGAGATCTGAATATTTCATTAACTAATACAAAGGCATAAAATCTCCCTTTACCAACGGTTTGAACCCAAAAAAATCACATCACTCATGTATCCAGCTCAGGATAGAGATATTCTTGTGTTTTTTTGATTTTTATTGAAAAGCTTTATCCTATTATTTGGTTTTTCTTGCTGCGGAGAAATTCAGCTTATTCGCATGCATTGAGATGATAACTGTTAAATGGCCATTTTTGTTGGTCAAGAGATAAGGAAAAGGGTCAAACATTGCTTTGTAAGACAAGTAATGCGTACGTCAAGGCTGCTGCATGACGAAGGCGCAATGCCTTTGGGCGAGATCGTGGCTTTATTAGCCACAGAGCGCGTGAGGCGCAGAATTTACAATGGTGAGGATACGCGCGCGCCGCGTTCGCGCCCGCTCAACTGATACTGCTTCTGCGCCTTCGTCATGCCCTCACGCCTTTACCCTCATACAAGATTGTTCACAACGTACCATTATTAGATATATGATCAGGGTGAGAGACTACTATGCAAAGTCACAAAACGATGAAGCAATTAACCCTAGTCAGTCACTACTTGAATGCATTCAGAGCCCATATTTAGCGCCTCCAGATCTAGTTCAGTTCGCGGTCCACCTTAGTCACTTTTTGCACTTTTAGCATGCTCAGCGTTTGCATTGCCATTCAAATAAACTAGTCTATGCGTACGCTCAAGCATTTGCAACTGTGCATTTTCACGCATTTTTATATGTTGTTATTCACCTGTCCCACTTCAAACACCGTCCACGAAGCTCCTTGGGAACTTTACTTTTATGAAATTCTCGATGGGGAGGAAATCAGTCTAACAATTTTTGAATCTGGTAATAATTTTCCAATAAAGTTTTGATACTCAGCAGCTTTCATTTTGTGCCTTAGATAGCCACAAAATCGGTGTATTACTTTAGCTTGCAGATGTTTCATTTCCAAGTCCTTCATTTTCAGTCATCGTTCAGTCCAAGAAGCTGCACATGCGCCAGATATACGCCAGTACCATGCGTATGCTATGCAGGAGCGATTCCTCACTGTGTGTGCAAGAAGATCATTCTGTCCTGGACCTGCCCTTGCGCAGTCGAGCAGCAGTTCAATCAGTGCTACAAATCCTGTCGATCACTTTGCTTGTCTGCGTGCTATCAAGACAGGACTCATCCAGGATGCGCTTCCTACTGTGATGGCATCTGCTCTCAGTCGTGTATGCCTCAGCAGTCTATGACGCCCATAGCCAGTATCCCAGCCATTCCTATGGTTACTTCCACTATATTCCCTCCCAGGAAACCAGCAATACCTACCGTCACTGGTATCCCCTCACTAACACCCAACATCCCATTGTTACCTACCATCACAGAAATCGCTCCCACTTTACCTCCCAGAAACCCGTCCAGGCCTACCTTCACCGAAATTTTTCCACGACCTCCTAGTATACCATTGTTACCTACAGAAACCCCTCCCACTCTACCTCCCGGAAACCCGTCCAGGCCTACCTTCACCGGAATTCTGCCAGGATCTTCTAGCATACCACTATTACCTACACAAACCCCTCCCACTCTACCTCCCAGAAACCCCGTCATGTCTGCTGCTACAGGGATCCCTCCATTACCACCTAACATTCCACTGCTACCTACCTACACGAAAAACCCTCCCACTCCACCTCCCAGAAACCCCTTCAGGCCTACCGTCACCGGAATTCCTCAAGGACCTTCTAGCATGCCACTATTACCTACCACCACTGGAATGCCTCTCAATTCTCCTGCCGAACTCGCAATGTCTTCAATCGGTGGGATACCACCCACTTTGCCTCCTCCTAACAAGCCCATGATTTCTAATGCTCAAGCACCTATCACTGTTCGTGAATTTCAATGTCCGAACTCCTGCCCGGAGATGTGCAGAAAGTCGTGCGCCAGTGTTGGTTCTGCTTCATGCTATCCACTTTGCATGCAACAGTGCGAGAGAATCTGTGGACCATCGAATCTTAAACAGCACCAGCTCCGTGTCCCAAATCAACATTTTCCACCACCACCTCCACCAAGTTTTGAATCAGGTACTTTGTGGTTTCTTCTAACAACACCAACATAGAAGCTGAAGGTTTCCCTGTCTGCTTTCAGGTAAACCCACCTGTGTGGACGCTTGTATGCCAAATTGCGAGCCACAATGTATGTTGGACCACTATGCTGGTCATCTTTCGCAAAACATTGAACGTTAGCCTGTGTTTCATAAGTGCAATACTGTCTGTAAATAAAGTTATCTTCACCGAGTTATATCCAGAAAAATCAGCAAAATTCAACATCACATAGATCATTAGGAAAAACTAACAAAAGCTTCTCTCCCAAGAAAAATGGTAACTTGTTTATTGGATTGGCAATGAGCAAAAGCATGATAAACAACAATATACGTGAACAAAGTTTGAGCAAATGATAAAGAGGAGACGAATGAGAGTGGTAGACATGAAGCAAAGGAAACCGCGTAAAACAAAAAAAAAAGTTGGAAGTAGTGGACAGAATTGACAAGTCTCAAAGATACAGTGTGTCTCAGTTGTGAGATAAATGAAAACCTTGGAAGGGAGAAAAAAAGCGGAGGAGGGGGGGGGGGGAAGAGACAGAAGGGCGCTTCTGGATGTAGTCCCAAGGTGCGACAGTTTGCGCAAATTAAGATGTGTAAAAGTTTTTCTAAGCACTTTCAGCCACACCCTCTTTCAATTTAGGGCAGCCTTAAAAAATCCTTTTTTCATTACTTGTCTTATTATAGTCAAATCAGTTCCAAAATGTGACATGGATCGAAGACAAGGCAAGGTTGGAGCATCTTCTAAACCTCATCTTCTCGAATAGTTGTTGTCTTAATTGTTGGCTTGGGATCTTCAACAGAGACAGGAATCACATTTGCAATCCGAAATCCCCGACTTGGTGATTCTTTTCGTGGAGGTAGCTCGTTATTCAATTCCATCTTCAGTATTTCTTCATGTATGAGCGACTGAAAAGTAAGCTAAGTATGGCAATAATTTGTAAATCACAAACAAATCGTCATACACTTACCTCTAGCAAAACTATGTCAGTTTGTGTAGCTCGATTACGTCGATGTAATTTGAGTTCAGATTGCTCGGCGAGCTTCTTCTTTGAAGCCGTTGGCATGACTTTGTAAAGTAATCTCGATTTCAGAGGCATCCTGGATATCACAGCATCGATTGACCGGGGATCAACTTCTTGAAGGCATATTGGAGTGTGAAAGATATAGTAGTAAATGTACAGTAATCCTACCATCTTTTTTCAAGTGTCCGTCTGCTCCACTCTCAACCGCATTCGTTTTTCCAGAACTCAACTGCTTCATGTCTTTTTCGGAAATCGCACCATCATCAGCAGCCTCTGCCAGAGCATTCATATATTCGCGGTCAATGTTGGCTTGCATGCCCTGAAATATTTTTGAAAAATCAAAAATTTTGTCCGATCTCTAAATAGACTAAAAAGTCTATTTAGAATAAATCTCTAAATAGACTTACTGTTGCCAAAGCTTCTATCTGTTGTTGAATCATGGTAAGCACAGTTGAGACAAGCGACAAGCCTATGAGTAAAAGGAATCCAACAAGTACGATGAAATCGTACTCTGATGGAAGAACATCGCCAAATCCAATAGTTGTAAATGAAATCAATGTGAAGTATAGAGAAGTTCCTGAAATGCGAAGAATTGAATCTGGCAGAAAATCACAGCTCATAACGGCTACCATAGCTCCAGTCTTCAAACAACGTAAAAATCCAAGCACATATGAATACCCATAAAACGGTAAGGAAGACTAGGAAAGAGATAGGAAATGACAATAAGTCCTCATCGTCAGTGGATGAAGATTGAACTTGATGTTGTTCATCAAACCCTACTGCTGCATTTACCTGAAAACTTTGGAAAATAGTTTGATTGATCAAAACAAGAGTTCCATACCTTCTTTTCTAAATCCTTGCTGACCACATTAGTTGATCTAAGCATGTAAGTCCAGATTATTTTACATATCCTTGCAAATATCGCTCCGAGAGCAAACAGGGTGAGCACAGCAATAGGAATACCAATAAAAGCGTAGAAAATAGTCAGGACACGACCAGCTGTTGTTACAGGAACAATGTTACCGTAACCTGAGCTACTCCAATTAAACAAATTCTCCAAATACGGAATTTTTGTCTCACCGATGGTTGTATAAACAGTCATGCAGTACCAGACGGCTCCCCAGAAAGTCCATCGAGTTTCCTCTGGATTCACCTAAGCCACCACAACGTTTTATTTAGATAGAAAAGCTTATTATTCACCTCCTCGACACCAAGTTTTTCTTGAAACCGTAACAAATTCTTCCTGGTATGATTGAGAGCTGCCAAAGGCTGCATGCCTCTCACATTGTTTAGCCGGTATACAGTGTTCTGAATATTGAGATCATTACTCGTTTGCGAGACAAAAAAATGTCAGGGAATTGGGTGAGAACCTCAAAAAGGTCATGTCTTTGCTTTTTGAGGACTTCCAACTCATACTGTTCGTTTGGCCCTTCCAACTCGCTAAATAATAAAGCGCCCAACAAGGTGTATAGAATAAGAAAGAGAAGAGGTAGAAGCGCTAAAACAAAAGATTTTGTCTAACCTGCTCTGTTTAGCGATGAAAACTGTTAGAGGAACATAATTTGTTACCTTTGGCCTGATTTTGAAGGCTATGCAGCAATCTCGAACATGTATAAGCGACCGGAGCCGACATGCTCGTCACGGCGCGGATTGTGCGATCCAGGCACGAATCGACAAAATACAGACAGTCTCGAGATGGAATACTGGATGTGTTGTCCTGTTGTGCTTGCAATATAGAACAATATAAACATTCAGTAGAGGAAGTTAGGCCAGAAATGTATGTGTTGGTGAGAAGAGTGGAGATTTTTTGTGCTAAGCACTAAGTTCAAATTTGATGATATTTTGTGAAACTTCGTTGCTCTATATTCGGTTTTGTGCTTATAACTAGAAATGAAATTAGAGTTGATCAAAATTTACTAAACAAAAGCTTGGTATAGATAAGAACACTGCGATTTTCTGTATCATAAACTACATGAGAGGACCAGCGGCAATCTGCAGCAGAGTTCCATAGAGTCACTTCTTAACCAGATGAAAAATCTTATACGTGTGAGCAAAAACAACGCAAAGAAATGATTAAGGCAATCCCTCCATATCGTGGTGCTGCAAAGCCTGGACTTACACAGTTGTTGAAAACAAACAAATCAAACGTGTTTTCAGAAATAGTTGTGACAAAGCGAGCAGCTGCTCAAGTCAGACGAAACTTCCTGCAGCTTCAAAGATAGCTTGATTTATCTAGTTACCTCATGTAGTTTTTGGAAGGAAAAGTGCCCAGTCACGGGCAAATCTGGAAAAAACATTCTCTTTATCAAAATCTTCATTAGAAGTCATCCTGATTACACAGGAGCGTTATATTGGGTAGTAATTCCTGTTTTTATGAAAAAGGCCTTTGGTCCGTTAGAAAAATACGGCATGAGTTATCGGAGTGAACACGTCAACTTCTTATGTACCTTATTTATCCCACACTCAAACTTAGAAGATCAAAGCAACATTGACAACTATCCAAAATTTATCTTCCACGACTACAACCAAAATATAAGTCAAATCCATCAGGAATGCATTTTTAAAGCACAATCGCATCCAGTACTAATGCTATACACCTAGAAGGGGGGGGGAGGGAGGGGAAGAAATGCTTGAGCTTCAATTACGATGTGACACAAAACTGTCCATGCAAAAATTTGAAAAAAAAATTTGCCATGCACAGAAATCATCGCTCCCTCACAAGAAGCAAATTTTTTTGCTATTTCATCACTTGCTAAACAGGACTAAACGTAAAATGTTGGAGAAGTTGAGGTAAAAGGAAAAATTGATTCAAAGCGAGGTTTTCATGCACTCTTCAGAGAAATCAAGCACGTAGTGCTTGTGCATAAAAAGCATGGATATGCTGGTGTGATTGAGATGAATCGTTGTGCTTTTTGTGACTGTTGCCGCATATCTCACGTTGTGAGAAATCGAAAAGCAACATTTGCCCGAGTTAAGAAGGCAACCGAAGATTGCTAGAACTTCGTGCACTGATGATCCAAAGTCAAACAAAAAATAAAATAACTAAATTTCTGCACTAAAATGTCGGTTTCTGAAAATTTTGCGGAACAGATGCAGTGTTTACTTTTTCTTTCGAATGCCAAGTAGATGTTGAAATTCTGGAACGTGGAACCAATACTTCAAGTCTTTGAAAGCAAATTACTCAATAGTATGCAAACCGCACTGTAAGAGGGATTCAAATACCAGATCTTGGTAATGGAAAGATGCGAAGTCAGCTACTCTTAATTTAACGGGACGAGCTGTTTCAGAATGAGCCTTCATACTCTTAAAACAGGTAACGATGTTATGGAACAAAAGAAAACTATGCAAAAAAAATTCTGTGAGATGCGTTTGGGCTCGCAAAACATCTGCCAACTGGTCCCTTTTTTTCTTGTAGATATGATTGCCCTTTCGCATCGCGCCACTGAATAATCAGGAGCAAACGCGCTTGGATTGAAAAATTGCTCCTTTATTGTGAAGCCTTAAGTTAGAATACAGTTACAAAAAACAAGTGATGAAGGCCAGATGGCCATTTTTGCTCCAATAAAAATACTTTCAGCTTAAACGTAGTGCGAGCGGCCTGAGAGACCGACCGATCGCATCGCGTGGGTGCACGCTCAACGATAGGGATATCGCGTCAGGTGTCGCAACATTCGACGAGTAGTGATCGCTGGAAAAGAAATATATGTGCTAAGTGAAACCATCATCCTCTACACGATATTCGAAACCTACTGAGTACAAAAAATTTCACAAAAAATATTCCGGAATTTTTACGAGTTGGAGATGCAAAGGTTATCAGATCAAAGTCGGTGTGTGCTTACCAAAAAGTTCTTCTTGTCATAGTCGTACTTATCTCAAATGCGATTCGAATAGCATCCGTACAAAACATACCCTTCATCTTGAACAAATAACGATAATGTCAAATAACGATATTGTTTTGGATAATTCTCAAAACTTTCAAAAAGTAAATAGTAGGCACTTTCTGAAATGACAAGAAGCGATTATTCGCCCAAGGTAATACATCCCTGGTCTTCAAAACATTGAAGATCTTATCCAGAATGATTGAATTTCCATAAATCAAAGAACAACAATGAAGCTGGTGGATACCTCATTTTCTCAACTTATAGCTGGAACTATTGCCGATTTGCTCAACGCTTGTTCCTTGATATTATTGTCACTGTAGCAAGAGAACGAACCTCGAGTTAAACTTTGAACAATGAAAATTTCAAAATAGTGAAAGCGAAAGGATTACTTTTCCTTTGTACCTTACTTTTTACAGCGCGTAAGCGTCCCAAATGCACTAGGACTATGATGTATTCATACTGCATCAATGGAGAGTACGGTCGAATTCTAGTCATAGGGAGAGTTGTCGCTCGTTGAGTTATAGTTTACGCTTCCTTTATCAAAGATTCGATTACATAGATTTCCAATGGAAGTCACCAACTATGCTAATTACAATACAGCCCAAATTTTTTGAAAAAAGACGCGAATGTAAGCAGACTTACGTGACGGTCGTCTGTGTTATGTGACGGTCGCCTAAGGCCCCGGACAGACTTCACGCGATTTGATCGTCGCGACTCAATCGCCGACATTTCCATTCATTTTCATTTCACATTCAAAAATTTCGGACTGGAAAAGTATCACAACCGAAATGCAAGTTGATCGGCATGGAATGATGTTGTAACAGTTGTCTCGTCGCGATTCAGTCGCGACGATCAAATCGCGTGAAGTCTGTCCGGGGCCTAAGGCTTAAGGCATACCTCGCGCAATTCCTGTCGCTGCGCGATTTGGTACAACAGAGACTCTCTGTAAATCGTCGCTAATGCGTTTCCTTTGGTCGGTACTTAACCCACTTGCAACAACTTATACAAGCTACCCGCCTATGCATTCGAGAAGCGCGCACGAAGAATTTGTGGAAATCTGGCAAATCGCCAAGTCGCGTGAAAGTGGCGATTTGGCCAAATTGAAATTCAAATTGCCAAACATCACCGTAGCGTGGCCATATCTCGCTTCGGAGTGGACGTATTCTGAATCCGAAGCCACCATTCGACTCACTCCGCGCGGAGCATCTCCTGATATATTGGAGATGGGGGTACGATGTCTTCGATATTCCGTTTCCAGTTTTCTCAAATTTTTCTGCGGAGGTCCTTTCGCGAAGATATGAAGCATCGCCTATCCAACCGAGAAGATTCCACTAAGTTATTCACTCAGACTTCTCTCCAAAGGAGATAGAAGCGTTATAGTGTTTTGGAAAAATCACGCGTTTTTAAATTCCACTCGCCATAACTTCCTTCGGTATAAGCATATTTTGAATTCGAAAACAGCGCTGTGCTCAGCTCATCAAGTCGAATCTTTTGATATCAGCACGCCTTTGATATTCCGATTTCAGTATTCTTGAATCTTTCTGCGACGCAAGTGACGTCTCTTCGCCAAGGTTGAAAGCAGCGAGCATTATTCCCACGGCTCGGCATGAGGTGGCTTTTTCAAATTTTCAAAAACGAAGTCCCCTTAGACTTCGTCATAATAATACGACATCAGCTATGACGCGATCACGAATGGATACAAACGAATAACAGAATCAATGGAACAAAACGTAAAGAGAACATTGAACAGACGGAAAACAGAACAGACGAAAGTCCGTATCCTCTGAAATGGCGGCATGCTGTGTCCGTCGCGCACCCTTGCACGCTTAGAGCAGGCTTGCCGCCGCCATACAAAATATTTGGAGGGGTGTAACTAGGCGGGGAAGAGGGGATTTAGAGAGATTCAAATACTCCGTTGTAGGGTTTTTGATGTGGAACAAAATTATGTCAAACATGTGAAAAAATTATGTGAAGGAAGGGAAATTTATGACTTTTTCTTTTTACAGCCACCTCAGGTGGCTGTCCAGGTGGCTGGAAAGGTCACCTAACTCCGAAGAAAGTTTGCCACGCCTTCAGTTCATAATTTTCTCATAATTTTTCGCCCATAGTCCTAACTCCCTGATGCCCCTTACACACCAATTTTAGTGTCATTTCATTTTCAGTTTGTACTAATGCTTCCAAAAAGCACAAGTTTGCTTCATATTAGATAGCGGTGACTATTGGAAAACTTCATTCCTGAGTTTTTTGGTGGATGTTAAGCAGTAGACATGCTGTTTAATTTTTTTAAGTAACTAATGTAAAAGTGTTAAACAGGTGTAAAGAAAAATATTCAGTGTGAGGTTCAAGTCCGTTACCAAATAATGTTTTCTTACTAAAACAATGTATTTCAAGAGAGCGATGGTTTAAAGTTTTGGCAATAATCTCTGTTTTATTAGAGGCAATTGCCTCTCAAAGCAACATAGAAAAAGGAAAATGCGTCCGATAGAGTCTGATTGCATTCATCAGTCCATGCTTTGTGTTCATTCAGCCAAAGCAAGCAAAAAACTAAATCACGAATCATATACATGCTGGGCATGCTAGCACTTTTGTATTCATATTAGTCAAACCCACAAATGGCGCATTATTTGTTAAAGATACTTGATCGAAAAGCTTGAGATGTCATATTTCAATGGATAAATATAGTACTGCGTCCTTGCATGAACGCTCGAGTGCTTCCAAAAGCTCTTTTTATTGTGATTTCTTGTGATTTAAATGACTGTAGTCGTAACTATGCTTTACACATGTGCAAGTACACCATGCATCTTATTACTCGCTGACCAAATTATTTGCAGACAAAGAGCTAAAATACTTCGCAAGGTTGTTAAAAGACCATTATCTTTTGAGAGCTATTAGCTCGCTCATGGGGCACAATTATGTAAAGGTATGAAACCGCATTGATAGGCATAGGAAGTGAAACGAATTTTCAAGAATGAGAATAAGGCGTATACATCATTTTTCTGAATCAGGTGTCCAAAGAATAAATTCTTAGAAAATCACGAAGCAGATAATTTTGAGTTAGCACTGTTTGAAGAATGTAATTCTGAATGATTGGCTCCAAATAGTTGGCAAATCGAAGATGTCTGGAAACAACAGAACCTTGCAAATGTGTTTGAACATCCTAGAACCAAAATTCTTGCAATTTAAATAATCAAGCTTAGCTCTAAGGTCCGCTGCTGTCCTAATGATATGGTTTTATTGAAGATTCCCGATGCAAATTGCAAGCTTTTTTAACACAGACTAAATAGTATCATGGCAATTTGTGTGAAGATAGTCTCTTAGTGGCCACTTTGATGGAGAAAAAACAAGATGAAACAAATCCACATTTTATCCTGTTGCTAGTGAAGTGATTTTACATTCGTCATATAACGTCATGAATTTTTTTTACAAATAAGATCAACTATGAATTATTTCGAGATTTTGCTTGTAGTGGTTATTATTTTTCTTATAAACATTTATCACATCTTCGCATTTCATTGACATTGAGTTAAAAATTCATACCTCGAGAGCAGATGCCGATATGCAGGTGCTAGAAAGAAGATCAAACCCAGTCTTAATCACGCTCTGTTTCCTTTTTCTAGTGAAATGACATAAGGTTTGAGCCAGGAACCTTGTTAGCGCTCAAATGCATGAATGTACTAAAAGGTTTCAATGTGTGATTCTCAACTTTATCTCCATAATCTCAGGTTCTTTCATAATTAATGCACGTTTTTCCAAACCCTTTTTTCAAAAGCTGATTTTCAAATGAAATCTTCTACAAGAGAACTTTTTTTACTTTGTAAGCAAGGATTATCTTTGGAATATAGCTAACGTTCGAGATTCTGCTACAGTATATTTGCCAAATATTTTTGAAACATTTTGGGGCCGCTAGACCGTATAGGTTGTGGGTGAAAAACGTTCGTAAATTTTTTATTATAAAGCTAGGGTAGGCCCAGTACAGTTTATATAAAAAAGACAGTGCTCCCCGCTTGGTGGTTTTTGCCTCCTTTGAAATGTAAAAAAATTGGATACTTCTAATATCTTTACAATATCCGCTCTTAAAAAAAGTTTCGTACATTCCAAGCTTTACTCTAATGCTCGGTCTATGTTGACTATAGGCTAGCTATGCAATAAGCAGCTTGCGCTATCCTAGTACATTCTAAGGGTTAGTTATGTTCGTCGAACCAGGAACTTCCAGAAAATGTTTAATTTTTAGGCTACAAATCTTTGCCGTAGTGGCTACGCCGACAAAATATGTGTTGCTTAGCCAATGGTTTCCTGTTTCCAATAGTTTTTACATTCTGTAGAATGTCCAAGAAAAACTTACTCAAGTTGAAAGCTGAATTTTAGGAAGCGTACATTGATTATAAATCATCCAAATATTTTTGTTTTTGTTTGAGTTTTACCTTGCGGAGTTTGCAGATTATCATCAAATAAAGCGGAGCTTTCGGGGACCATCAAACTTGTCAAGTTCATGAAATATATCACAGTGGCAGTGCGCCTACCTAACAACACTGTTCTAACAACTTCTTGTATGAGCGGTTCCTCAACTTTGGCGAGACGGAGCTGCGCTAGCCGCTCTTGCGTTGCGGTTGCCCTGTGCTGAGGCATACCTGATCCATTGATCTTTCTTGATCATCACGGATTCGCCTCGCCCCAGTTGGGGAGTCGACCTTACAATATTTTACTCAGTGTCCTACTGGCTTGTGAATTAACTGAATTTCTGATCTTTTGACTACCTTATTGACGAGCACAAGGAAACGGAAAGGATATCCATTGTTGTTTGGCGCCAAATCTGTTCAAATCTGTTCAATTCTGTTCAATCATTCAATTGCACTTTGTACCTTGCACTTCTTCGTACCCTCGTCTTGCAGTTCGTTCCTGATTTCTAGGATTTCTATCTGTTAAATTTCTGCTCTATGATTCTAAGTAGGTGAGCTGAAATACCTTTCAGACGTCCTCTAGAATCATATCATTGAACACGCTGATGCATAGCCAAATTGGTGGCTTAAAAAATTTTCGCTCTTTTCTGACACGCAGCCTTTGAGTGTAAAATTTCTCCTATCTTCCTCTTTTTTCTCACATTTGCAGAGTAAGTGCACAGAGTACAATTTGAGGTTAGCACCTTTGATCTTCAATTTTTTTTTCATTATACCGTCGTTCAAATGACATCTTGATTAGCTCAGTGAGAGACTTGGGATTAAGACCTCAAGGCACATTTATGGCATGAGTCCCTAAAATAAAATCATCAGGCATATTTTGGCATCTGGAGCTTTTCGTCATCTCATACTTACTACGCGATGACTTTAGTTCATCTTCTGGGACTCAGTTCTGAATTCCTCTAAGAAGAGTTGGGAATTATTTGATAAAATTTTTAAGCCTCTTGCCAGTTTTTCTTGAGCGTCCATTACTTTTTATTAGTCGCGAAGGAATTCACACTTCAGCATTTTTACTTTAGTAGTGCTGCGTCTTTTCCAGAACACGTTTTGTTCTGTATTGATCTCGAATAGTTTACGAAGAGACATAAATTAATTTTATTGCGAACTGCGATAGGATAAAGTTGAGAATTGGGCTATAAACTAAATACGGTTCCTCTACCGACTCTCAAAAAATGGCAACACAGCGTTAAAAGAAGGGAGCACGAAACAGTGACAGAGCCTAAGTAGAAGATTAGACCATTGTTTTGTTTATTTGTTTGTTGAATAAATTTGGTCAGTGTAAAACGGGATTTACTGGACAGGACAATGGTGTCGCAAATAGATTTCTTTGATTCGCCGATTTTTTTGTTTCAAAGCAGAAAATCTTGATTGCTCTACAGCTCGAAGAAGTATATGGTTATGCTTGTACAGCAGACTGTTGGAGAGCATGACAATTTGCTGCGTTCGCTACAAAATTTTGAGAAAGATTGAAAAAATACAAACAAGCTCGGTAATGATACATAGTTACGGCTACTTCACAACTACGGCATTTTTACGAACAAGTGTCGTGTGGTCAAAACTAAGTTTCTTGAAAAGTATGTTTGAGTTTCTGGGTGTAAAAAACAGTTCTTGCGTTTTTGAAAATTACTAGTGTCATTCTAATAATCCCCCCTCTCAAAGATCATAGAAGTCTTTTAATTACTAAAAAGTGCACTTAGTAGAATTTGATCAGAGCATCATATGGCCTCACTGGTGTGTGTTTACAGATCCTCACAGCAATGGCGGTCCCAGGATTTCCGTCCGGGAGCTGGATGGGGGGGAGGAGAGATTTTTTTAAATGAAGTGCATGGCGCCTGCCACGCCCTCCAAAAAATTTTCGGCGCTAAGTTACTTGCACTTTATAACACATGTAAGCTTAAAAGATTTCGAGACCCATTCTGGGGGGGGCACCTTGCCACTTCCTCGGTCCGCTGCTGCCCCACAGATATGGTATTCACGCACCCCCACAGATAAGTTTCTACAGCATTCTATTTGCATTTTGGTTGACCACTTTAACCACAAATTGCTCTCTTCATTTTTAAGAGAAAAAACTGTGATTGTAGAAATTTTGCAAGGACTCTCACTGGCGGAAGGCATGCATTGAGTACATCCAATCTACCGAAACATTCTTGATTCTGCTCCCGACTGCGATTTAGATCAGGAACGAACTCACTTAAATAGCCATACTGGCTCAGAAAACCTCTTGAGTAATTCTGACAAGGAGAAAATTTCTTCTTTATAGAAGTGAAGAGACATTTTTTTTACCGCTGAGGCTTTCTCGCCAGCAACGGAAATATAGGGCTTTTACTAAGCTTTGTTCGCTATATGCGCGATTGCGGGAGAAGCATCCCTAGGGTTATATAACCTAATGTGCTGCCATCAAAGCAAAGCACTTGCGTTCAAAATCCACGTAGGATAGAACGTTATTTGCTTTCGCAGAGCAAGTGATGGCTCAGTAATTTGGCCGATGCACCAGAATTGTGCCCTATAGGGCAACTGTAACACTGGGAGCTCACAACACGTCGATACGAACGTTTGTTGCAAGACTGCCAAAGCTTACACCCCGCTGACCCCTGTCGACCCGTACCCGCCCGCTTTACTGCAGGCTGATTGATGGTACGGGTTCGGCCACCTAAACAGCAAATGGCCGAACATAGTGACATCGGATGTGCGCGGCGCAATGGCTGTACGCAAGTCCGACTCTCGCGATTCTGCAGGTCCCTATAGGCGCCGGATCAACCGATCGCCGCAGGACGCTGCGCAACTAGTAAGCAGATGTCATTTAGCGTCATGTTGGAGGAAATCTAAGTGGCATCTGATGCACGAAACAACATTAGTTTTGGAGAAGTGACAAAAAAGCCTCGCAGAATGAGAGTAGGATAAAGGTTTTGTCTGTGAAAAATTTTCGTTGTAGTGAAGTTGGGCGGGCCGATTGATTTCCCTACCACATGACGTCAAATGACAGTGACTGCGCCGCGTCCTGCTGAAGCAGGACGTCGCTGAGTCTGGCGCCTACCTTAGTCTGACACCTACCTATTTGTTGTAAATTTCCTCGCGGGACCCCCCGTTTTGTCACAATAATATAGGAGCATGGGGCCGCTGCGACTCTGCGTCTTGGGCTTGACGCCAACTATTACTCTCATCCAAGTTCAGAACAGAGGGTTTTAGGAAGAGCATTTCCTGCCGCTTTCCGCTCTTTGGGAAATATTTTCGCATTCATGTAAGGAAAAACTTAGACTTCGAGTTTTTGCCGCACACTGTTTTGGAACTCCAGAGGACACAGACGTGATCTGCAGGCCCGTCATGTTTCAGAATTAGTTTTGGTCTATTATAGTCGATCACAAGCATCAGCAATGGAAGAGATTTCTCTCTACACGGAACAATGCGACAAGACCTTGACGCACATGCAGAAATGGTATCGTCATCGACTTTTGTTTGAAACGGGACTGCGTGAAATAGCGTGCAAGGTAAAAACTCTGCTTTCATTCCGATATATGCTCGTTACAACTTTTTTGAACTTAGGTTGATGAAAATAAGGAGGACAGACTTTTGTGAATTTAGGTTGATGAAAATAAGGAGGACAGTGAAGGAAGTGGAGTTGCTTCAGGGGATGAAAACGCTGATGTTGATGTTGATCAAAAGAGTAGCGGTAATCTTTTTTACATAATATTGAAATTTGGGGCTGTCAAGCTTTCCGGGTCCTAAAATAGAGTTCTAAGCCATAGAGATTGCTCAAACTTGGTCCAAGGAGATTATATAAAGGGCGGGCATACATCACGCGATTTCATCGCTTTGTGATACTCCCAAGACAATTGTTTTGAGTCCGTTGCATGCCGATCATCTTGCATTTCGGTGTGATAGTTAGTCGCGACTAGTCGTGTATTCTAGCGAAATCCATAACTTAGAGATTTTGGGGCCCGGATAGCCGAATAGCGTTCCATCGAATTTGAGCATTCGTGAGCTGTCCTTTAGGGAACGGGCATAGTGTTCGCGATATCGTCGTTGCGATTTTGTCGCCGGGGAATTCGATGGTTTGGGCGACGAAATCCCGACGACGAAATTGCTTTTCGAGAGGACATGGGCATAGTGCTCGCGATCCCAAGTCTTTGCACAAAACTGACTAGAATTTGTTCTCATGGAATAATCCGCTTACTCACTCTCAGCATCCACCATTGCTCATGCCAATCGTGATGATACTCGAGTACGAAAAATTTTCATGTGTCTGCCTTTCATCAAGTCCATTCCTCACAAGCTTACCACTTGTTGGCAAATGCTCGCCTACGAATGTTGCCCTTTGAAAGCTAACAGCTATAACTAGGACACTCTTCGCTAAGTTTTTGGAAAAAGCAATCAGAAGGAACATATTGGAAAGATGACGTGGGCATTTGTAGCGCCTAGCAGAAACTTACTAGGAGTTTTTTAGAAAAAAAATCCGAGCAGAGCACTAGAAGACCGCAGAAACACACAAACATAACCGTTTTGTGCTGATGCACCACTATCAAAAACAGAAATTCTCCTGCAATTTTGGGAATTGCAAAACTTGAGATTATCCATGCGAAATGAAATGACAAATTACAAGTTTAGCTTGCAAAAAGCAATTACTCACAAAAAAGCGCTAAAAAACAAATCAGCCTAGATCTGTATAGCAAACGGAACACCCAACAATTACATAACTCTTACACAGGATTTTCTTTTTCTTCAAACAAAAACAAGTTGAACAACAATGTATGTCTATGAAAGTCTCTCAAAATCTCATTCCAACATCAGCGATATCGCCCAGTCGCCCGTGCAACACGCGCGACGCGAAATCGCTGAGTTTTGCCGAAATCGCGGCGATTATCGCTGCAGAACTATGCCCTAGCTAAAAAGGGTCCGCGATCCGTAGCGCCGGACGAGTATCACAAGCGCCGTAGCAGACGAATAAGCATGCAACGAGTGCGTAACAGTTGTCGTAATTCAGAAATCGCAGCGCGACGGTATCGTGGACACTATGCCCTAGGCCTTAGGCGCAAGGCATACCTCACGCGATTCCACTCGCCACACGATTTGGCCATTTGCCAGATGTCTTCAAATTCGATACTGATAGACTCCGAATACACAGCACATACAGCCCCAATCAAAACCAGGCCAAAACTGGCATGGCGGGAGTCTGTGTCGCGAGGGTGTTGCGTCACGTCTACGGCTAGGTCTGCTCTCTCCTCGATCCCTTCGCTCTCTGGGATAGTGCGCATATGCAGCGCAATGTGCTGGCGCTGCGTGCGCGCAAATTCAGCCGATATTTCGGCCTGATCCCGATTGGGGCAGACTCAGTGGCGGTTTCAGGATTTCGGACCGGGGGGGGGGGGGCGACAAAGAATTTTTTCCAATAAGTGCGTGGCGTTCACGCACTCCGAAAAAATTTATGGAGTGCTTCTCAAAATTGTTGCGGCGCCCCTGAAAAAATATTTCACGAGGCTAATTTGAATTTTTAAACAATTTTAAAAATTATTTTAATTATTTTCAAGTATAAACAAGTCACTTGCACATTTTTATAACCCATATAAGTAACTTTCAAAAACTTCGCGAGCCATTCTCGGGGAGGGGGCGGCCCCCTCCCCCCACCCTCCTCGGTCCGCCACTGGGCAGACTGTATAACTTGCGTTGATAAAATGCCCTATCTTCCGTACATTCAGAAACCTATTACGATGAGTTATGACCAATTGAAGTACCGTATTGTTTTCTCTGCCGTATGCCTTCCAGCCTCAACATGTTGTGGATTGGTGCGGCGTCGCCGAGGAAGCAACACGGCGCAGACCCGAAGCGATGCGGCGCCTCACCAATCCATACCAATCCATACCAACCCACACCAATCCACGTCGTGTTGAGGCTGTAAGGCATACGGTAGAAAAAACCAATACGTATTGAAAACAACTGTATTGCCAAATCGCGTCGCGACTGAAATCGCGTGAGGTATGTCTTCGGCCTTGCATTATGGTATTTTACCATACTATGGTAGTAGTTAGTGTGACTGGTGACAGGAAGTAGAAGAACAATTTGATTGCGTGTTTTACATCTCGTACTCACTGCGATTTGAATTAAGTGTCGGCAGACTTCGACCACCTTGCGTTTGTCGCGGAGAAGGACTACAGTTTGACCGACAGTTTTGTCGACTCTGTCATAACACTCCAAAGAGCGGAGGAATCGCTTCTATCTGTAAGGTTCTTTTCTACTATTGCTCAATCACACGCAAGGATTACAGCAAATCAGCTTCGAAAGAAACGATGGAGAAGTTCGCCCTTCATCTTATCCTTCCAGTCTAAGCGTTGACGTAGTGATGGTTGGTTCTTATATCAGATATATTACACAGTTCAGTGCACCTGAGTTCAAGTGTGCGCAATTTTTTTTATTTTGTAAAATACTAGAATTCAGGCAATTGTCTGGAGTCTTAGTCGTCGCCATCTCTCTAAGCCAGAGTTTCTGCATGAAGTTCTCCATACACTGTGCGACCTGGAACCCTTATCCTGGTACGCGGTAGCTGTCGAAGAGAGGAAGGTACGATATATCATTTGGCATGAGCGATGAAAGAGGAGGGGCATCACATTGCGGCTATTTCAATCCTCGAGTCATCTACATTCCGGGGATACTGTAGTACAGTCGATTAGATTTCCGCTCAACATAGTGTGCTTGCGGTGCGGAAAAAATCCATTAATGCCGGCGTAGAGGACTATAATATGTCGCCGAAAAGGGGCGATCCCCGCGGTCATCCGTAACAAGTACGCACCCTTGAATATGCTTGGAGATGCGTTCCTGCAGGAAGTCCGCGCGGAACCCTCCCACATTCGGCGACATGTAGTCGTCCATCCTTAATGCCGGTATTTTGCGCGCGCAAGTGGACGTGGATCTGGACGTAGATCAAGTTCGGAATTATAAATAATTAGCTGGCAAACCCGGCTCCGCCCGGCCCTGTCATTATTATATTCGTAATCAGCATGCTCGATTACCCCCCTGTGCCAACTCCCAGCCCCGTAGCTCAAATTTTGCAAAAAATCGATAAAATCGATATCGATCGATAACGAAAAGTAGCCTATGACACGCTTCCTCCCCGAACTATATGTGTGCCAAGTTTGGTCCAAATCGGTTCAGAAATAAAAATTTCTATTCCGCACATACGTACAGACCTACAGACAGACAGACATACAGACATACAGACATTCAGCTTTATATATAAGATTCCAAGATACTGCTCTAGGAAGATACTGACGCATTAGAATGATCTAAGTTTTTGGCCACAATTCAGCTTTCTTATGAAGGTAAACCCAGAAGTGTTGGTTGTTTGAGCTCCTCAAAAAAATTTTTCTTGGATCTCCTCACAAATCATGGTGCAATGTTCTCACGAGGTTGGTATGCAAAATGAGAAAAATCATCTTTATCTAGGCTGTCAAAGGTTTTTTTGTTGCGTCGTCCAGGATGTCCACTTGAGACCATCTCTTTTCGGCGAATTATAGTCTCCTACCCCCTGACACCATGGAGCTCAAAATTCAGTGCATGACGCATACAACCTCACTGTTCGTAATTCCCGAAATTTTATTCATGTTTCAGTTTCTCTCTGACTTAAGTATTATATTGAAGTTTTGCGTGCAGATCTTTCAAAGAATTCAAGTTGTTCTTACAGAAACCGTTTGAGGAGAGCTCACTTTCTGGTCGTTGTATGGCTATGTATCTACGCGCAGTTGCTTATAAAGTGAGGTGCGAATGTGAACACGTACGTTGCATGGTGCTGGAATACCTAGGCGCCGTGTACAACGAGCCTGCGCATGGTGGAGCATAGGTCTACTCGCAGATCATGTGAAGATTCGCACATTTTGAACAGTCTTTTTTTACTGCCTCTTGTTCTGAAGATACAGTATATGTGTACATTAACCATTTTCCGTTTTTTGTTTCATCCAAATGGCATGTATTTACATTACAGTTTTTTGTTACATCCTTGTTTAAAATCACTTGTGTATGGTGAAGAAGCTTTACCCTGTGAATGAAGATCATCTGTCGTTATGCTTTAATTTATCCTTCAACGCGACATCGAGGGGAGAGTTAATCAATGTAGTCTTCAGAATTACCTTAGGCCCCGGACAGACTTCACGCGACTTAATCGTCGCGATCTAATCGCTGAGATTTCCATTCATTTTCATTTCACATTAGTGGACTTACCGGGCTCCGCCCGGCCCTGTCATTACTATATTCGTAACTAGCTGGCTTACCCGGCTCCGCCGTATGTTCCGCATATTGGCTATTTAGAACCTTGCGACGTTTTTTGGAGTGTAAAAAATTGTTTTTGTCGAAAAACTGCGGTAATGAGTGGTTTTTTTCGGCAAAATGACTATTCCACGAATTTTTTGTTTTTGCTTCACCGTGCAAGATAAAAGCCTTCCAAAGTAACTTATGGACATCTGCAGTGTAAGTAATCTTTACGGATTTTTTTCGGCTAGCTAGCGGCACTCTGCGATTTTCTGGCACCAAACTCAAAATTGCAAATTTTGAAGTCCCATATTTGAGAGCTTCGTTCTCGGGGGCTAGCTCATGAAATCTTGCGCTTAAACATCCATCATGGAGCGCAGATCTTCTAATATTTTTAGGGAACAAGATTGTGAATTTAGGTTTAGTCATTGAAAAGTTATCGAATTTTGTTTGAATTACGCAAGAACTTTCTAGCCAACCTAATATTAGGTGGTCCCGAAAGTATTTTCGCTTTTTTCAAACAGTCGCCACGGTCCGCAGAACAAACATCTTTAGAAGATCTTGGAAGCATTCGATGCAGTTTTTTATGCTCTTTCGAATATTTAACTTTGTAGTGCAGTTTATCAAACGAGCTCTTAGAAAACTACCAAAAACTGCGACCCACGCTTTTTAGCAAGGTCAAAATTCGCTATTTTTCTAAATTCTTGTACTGATTCTCCGAAGAAGCCCAGGTAACCTGCGGATAGAGCAGACGAAGTAGGAAACAAAACAATCTCTTTCTCCTTCCCAGATCTCTCCATAATTTTTTGACAAAATTTCAAACAACACTATCGACTTTTAGCAGACACATACCAGACGCAGACTCGTCAAACTCTAAGAAATTCTCAGTTTTTGATACTCTTGAAGATAGATTAAGATTTATCACTAATTTTTCAAGACAAATAAGTGTTTCCAGGTTTAAATATCAGATTTTGAATTTTTCGGGTACATCTTGGGGCGCCATCAAAAACATGTGTCGATTTTGTCCTCTAAAAGTTTACGAATCAGGAACAAAAAACATGTCTCTGAAAGAGGAGAAGGTGCTGCATCGGATAACACTTGAGTTGCTTGCCGACTGATGCTTTATAAGGTTTAAGTTGACGGAATATAGAATTTGATAGCATCAAAAAAAATTCTAAAAATTTTGTAAAGTAAGATTTGGAAGGGGCGGAAATTGTATTGTATCCTACTTTGTTTGCTCTATTTAAAGGTCACTTGAACTCCTTCGCAAATTACTACAGGAATTTAGAAAAATACCGGAAAGTGACTATGGCAAAAACTATGGGTTGCAATTTTGGTTACTTTCTGAGACTGCATCGATGATTCCAAGATCTTCCAAGGATGTTTGTTCTGCGGACCGTGGCTACTTTCGGGACGACCTAATATTTGCTTATTTTCTTCATGGCTGCAAATCGAAAGAATAATAATTCTCATGTCGCCAAAGTTGTGCTGGGCTGTTCCCATATAGGGAGTAATCTCATAGGAGAAACGCTTTGCAAGTGTAATCATGTATTTTCAGCCTTTGCAAAAAGTCAGGCCTTGAGAAAAATCAAATTCAGCTCAAAACTCGAGAATAGCGGCATTTTTTCTTTTTGAGCAATTAAGCGATTCTGAGAAACGAAAAATTTCAGCAAATGTGCATAGGTACCTGGATGTGGAGGATATATGCCTGATTAAATGGGAGCCTATATTTTATTGAATCAGCATACTATGTTTCCCTGATTCTTCGAGCACTGAGATCTTTTCAGATTTCGGCTTCTGTTATGTGGAACAGACTTTGGGCAATATGGGTACTATCTTGTAGAGATTGATTTGATCTATCGAAATTTCAGCAAAGCGAAGGATAGCGCAAAATTCATTTATGGAAAAATAATAATATGATTTATTGCGAATGAAAGGGGAGACATAAAAAATAGTGACGGATATTTATTCAGAAGACAAGAGTGTAAAATGCTTTCATACTGACAAGGGAACCTTGTTTAGTCGAAGTGGCCTTTCTAGATAATATGTACCTAATGGAGAGCATAAAACGCTGATTTCAAATCCGCCATCCTTATCTGCGGAACATTTGTGGACGAGCAGTTATGAGCATTTAGAGCAAAGTTTTTCTAGAGCTTCGATGGAGCAGTGATGATTATTAGAGCACCTCATTCAAAAAATACCCTTGAAAAAATAATCATACTTAGTTGCTTCTAAAGGGTTAGGAAAATCCTAGTAACTCAATTTATCCCATGTGCACATTCTTTGCTCCAATAAACGCTCATAACTCCTCATCCACAAACTTCCGTAGATAAGAAAGCAGATTTAAATCAGCGAATTATGCTCTCCATTTTGGTATACATCCCATCTAGAAAGGCCACTTCGACTAAATAAGGTTTCCTTGTAAGTTCTACCTGTTGTTCTGAGAACGTTTGTCATTCAAGCCTATGATGTTTCAATCAAACTACTCAGGTGATTGAAGCAATTCCATTTAATCTAGGAGTGAAGAAATTGTGAAATTCGGCAGTTTTTGATGATATTAGGTTGTCCCGAAAGTTTTGTCGGTTTTTTTCATCGCTCACTAGAACCCACAGAACACCAATCCATGGACTATTTAAGTATCAATTAATTCATATTTTTATCCTCTTTCTTATAGCTGTATTTGCTCTTTGATCTACTCTGTCTTTGCGATGTTATCGCCATGGCTTTTGAGCAGCGCAACAGTAACGCCAAATCTTTCCTGAATTTTAAAAAATTTTCTTTTGCTGTTTTAAAAGAGCGCTAGTAACTGTTAGTGAAGCAAACCATTGGCTACATTGCATTTATTTTAATTTACATGGGCCACGTTTACCAAGTCCGTTCTAATTATTTATTTAAGAAAAACCGTGGCTTTTTGATTACGTCTATCACGTAAAGTTACCGAAAATTCCAAAAAGCTGAATTTTCAAAGCAAATTAAACATGGTTATATTGCATAATTATTGTTTATTAGCAATCAAGTTTTAATTCGCAGAAAATTCAAAAGCTTTCATGTTTTTGCTGCACCTGCGTGTTTCATGACTTTGCCAAAAAATCGAGACCTCTGAAGAAATAATTTTTTGAAGCCAAAATCAGCAGAATAGGAGGATCTAAAAATATCCTCTTGTAGGCCGAGAATTGTTCTATTTGTGCCATACTTAAGCATCTCCGGAACATTAAACTGAAATTTTCAAAAATTAGCCAAACTTTGAGCACATAAAACTAACGGGTGGAGAATTGTAACAATTATCAAAAGAAGCATACAAGATTGTTGCACGAAAATGTAACCATAAGAAAGAGAAGGAAGAGCTGCATCGAATGCATCTAAAAGTCATTCAGTTCTTTATTGCGCATAGCTTTATAGCGTTTTGAAAAAACCGGAAAACTGTCGGGACAACCTAATATATGCAAAGAAGTCTCGTTCTGTATTTCGCAGTCTAAAGTGTATAATACGAGCGGAATTTGAGTAGTTTTATATCCTTTATTTTTGAGAGAGCACAGCAAGAAGGAAATCAGAACGGTTCCGAGCTCACTCAAAGGCAGCGTCCAGGCAGATCTGGACCTGTGGGGCTTTTACGTGTAAAGTACTTTTGGGGCCCTAACTAAGGCACTGCCCAAGCGGCAGCTCAGGTAGTGCTCTAATGGCTGAGATATTCCCCTCGAAACTGGCCCCCGCGAACGTATTCGCATGGATTCATGACAGTTTCGCGCCAGGATCCACGCTTTGCGCCATGAATGCATGCGAAACACGGTCGCGGGGTCCAGTTTCGAGGGGAATATCTCAGCCGTTACAGCACTACATGAGCTGCTGCTTGGGCAATGCCTTAGTTAGGGCCCCAAAAGTACTTTCCACGTAAAAGCCCTATAGGTCCAGATCTGCCTGGACGCTGCCTTCAAATTCGCATTACTACGTCAAAATAGAAGCTTGTGAAAACTCTTTCGCTTCTTTGATTCAACGAGAATGACAGCTGGAAAGCGACCGCTCGCGTCCGCGAAGCAATCTGCGTCTCCCTCGCAAATGTGCTCTCTGATCATTTTGAAGTTTTAACTAGGTCATGAAGGCCCGCCTTTCAGCCGCCAATCCAGCTGAATCAAAGGGTACGTTCGTATCGCTCTGCTTAGAAAGCTTCGTTGATTGAATTACTCATGAAATTTTGAACCAGAAAATCTGCAAATCGAACGCAGCTGGAACAACTTGGTACAGTTGAGTTATTCGCAAAAGAACGCATGTAAAATGGACTATGTCAGGTATTGCAGAATCTTGTGAATATGTCTGCAAGTTCATTTCCTTATGATCCTCGGATACATTATGATTCTGATTCTTCCAATCAGTTTTTTGAGCAGTGCACCAGTTTGCTGTAATGAAGCAGCAGGAAGGAGCAGTTTGGTGGAAAGAACGCCACAAAACAATGATAAAGTAGCACAAAAATAATGCACGAAATAGAAAGAAAATTTGGTACTTTTCCGTTATCTGGATCCATTTTTCCAAATGGTCTTATGCAACACGTTCTCAGCCCTAAGAGCAAATTTTCATAGATTCTAGCAGGACTGCCTCCCTGCCACGTGTCAGAAAAAAATTGACATGTTTTGGTCCACTTTAGCATGTCTTCGAAATCACTTCCGGTGAAGTAAAAGTGCATTTGTGATTACCTAAAGGCTGTTTGACTTTGACTGTTTTATATATAGATAAACCAAACAATCTAGAACTTATACTAGAATGCTAATTTAGGCAGGAGAGACTATAAATCATGGCTTAAGTACCTTGCCG